CATTCTGGAAAGTTGGAGCTGAGCCACTAGGCCTGGTGGACATGGTCATATGAGAGGTTGAGGGCTTTGAGCCCTGTCCCTGGTATCTGTGCTAGTCCCACAGATTTGCTGCTTCTGCCTTCTGTCACTGTCGTTCCTGCTACATTAGGATGATTCGTGTCTTTCAATTATCATAGCCAACCAGAACACTATGGCCAAGATCCGAAATAGTCTTGAGGTAGTGAGGTGGCAGTCCATGCTTCATGTACTCAACCATTCATCCCGAGTCAACTATGTCTTCCTGGATTCCAGCGAGTTTTCTGAGTCGCTCCAATTCATCGAAGTAGTCTGGTGCTGCCTTGTTGCCCATCTTGTATTCTTTCATCCACAACCTGTGGACTTCTCATACAGCAGGATCTATGAACTTGTCATAGATCATCTGCTTTAGGACTGATCAGGAGAGATACTGGTGGTGTTATTGGATGGCTGACTAGAAGTTAGGGGCTAGCAGCACCCACCATACTTTTGCTTTGTCTTCAAAGTAGGTGGTAGCATAGTTTACCTTGTATATGTCATAGAGGAAGTACAAGGCAAAGACCTGGAAATATCGGTCGCAATCCATAAGAAAACAGTCAATATTATCTGAAGCCTCTTTAAAAGGAAGGGACTCCTGCCCAAGCATCAGCCTGATGTTTAGTATATGTGCCTTCAGATTGAGAGGCGATATTGGATTTGAGGGTTCCCTCCCAGGAGGACCAGTCCAATCCATCAGGGGTCCTGGAAAGGAATGTAGAGACTCATCATTGGCGATGGGACTTTTTGGAGTCAGCAGCCCTTCTTTTTGTATAATCTGCCCATCTTTGATGGTCCACCTCTGTGCTGTCACCTCAGAGTCATCCATCTTTGAATCGGTAGAAGCCAATCTGGTTGCTTTATCAGGCAGTGGCTGCCCTCCTAGTAGTCAGCTTCCTGTGCCAGTCTAGAGATTTGGGTGATAGGTTCTCGGCTGTCCATAGGATTGGGTTAGCTGAGATGCTGTGCTGCAGATAGCCAATGTGGCAAGCAAATATCTTGATGTTGCCATTCGAATTAAGGATGCCATATTTGCTGACTTGGGTGACATCACACTCAGCATCCACGGCATCAATGCCTCTTGTTTGCTGAACTGTGATCGATATAGTGGCATCGCTATCATTTGATAATGTAAGAAGCATTGATTGAAAAATCGCATGCTCAGTCATGACATACTGTAAAATCTCCTTCTGCTTGACATGATCAGTGGCAGTATACCTTCATTCTAGAGATAATCATAACCAATGATCATCCCTTCATAGTTTAGCTACCTGTTCTTGGTATAACCGAATAAACTCTTCTTCCTGCACCTCTTGTTCCTGTTGTTTCTTCTCCTGTTCTTAGTGCATGGTTGTGCTGATAATACTTTCCCATTCAAGGATGGGGTCTACTGCTCAGCTGCCTTGGTCCTCCTCCTTAGTCTTGTCATCTCCTTCAGCCCCTTTGTCAGTGGTCCCTTCGAGGAGAAAACTGTCTTATTGGCTGAAGGTTTCTAGGGTGAGTAGATCAGGGCTGAGTGCTTGACTTGGCATCATTGGGTCTGGGTCAAAGAGCAGGCTCTCAGTCAGACTGCTCTTCTTCTCCTTCTGCTAGCAGCACCACTGCTCTGCAATACCAGCAGAAGTTTCTATAGAACTAAGAGCAAAGGAAGAGGACAGCGATTGGCCTGTCAAAGACCTTTTTGAGGTCCCCAGTGGGGTCAATATGCTCATTATCACCCCCAATTGTTTCCTGGTCTGATGGTGTCCTATCTCCCCAGATGAGAATATCATCAGTTTCGGCAATAGTGTCTATCCCATATGATAATAGGTGATCATCGTCAAGGAGTGTTAGCTCCTCATGATGATAGTCATCAGCATGGACAACTCCAGCAATTGGCCCAGTCTAAGGGTCAGGCTCACTAGTGGGAGTGGCTGGTTTCTAGAACAGAGAGTTGGCAGTGCCGACTGGAGTATCAATGCATCAGGGGCCAGTCTATGTCTGTCTTTCAAGGAACCTGGCAAAGGACTGAGAGATTGGTCATATTGGGTTTGGTACCACTGGATCACATCTTGGTAGGCATAAGGCTCCTCTTCATTCCTGTTCCAGTCTACTGGCCACTCTTGACGCTGCTTGCCAGTATCAAACCTCATTCCTGTTAGTGTCATCAAAGAAAGGATTGAGACTACTGACTCTTGTTCCTCTTTCACTGCTTCTTGTTGATGAGGCATGCTGAGGTTGATGCTTGTTGGTACTTCTGGTGCTTGGAGCCATCCAAACAGCATCCAAGGAGTCTCTAGCCTGATGCTCAATTTCAGACTGGGTGATAGTGGTTCTTGATGCAGTGATGCTGCACTCAGGGGAGGGGATAGGGGTGTCAGGTCAGGGTTGTTGAAACCCTGTAGCCCAAGGGTTTCCAGAGTCTTGGATGACTGCCGATGGGGGTCTTGGAGGATACTCGTGTTGCCGCTGCTGCTCTTCCTCTTCCCTAAAACACCCTTCAGTCGAGCCCCCAGGCTCATCTTCTGTTTCTTCAGAGTGTCGGACAGAGTTTCAGACAGAGACAGGGATGTCATGGAGAGGGAGGTCTGGTGTGACATTTCAGAGGATTGTGCAGATATGCTGGAATTCTTGGTAGTGTCGAATGGCTCAGGCAGTAATAGATTGGTGTCCATGGCATAGCTGTATAATCACCAATAAACCAATCAAGGTTCCAATGATAGAAGCCAAGAGTTTGAAGAACTTGTGAGTAAAGTTCAGATCAGATGGATTTAGAGCAGAGGACATTCAGTTTCTCAGCATGATTGGGCCTGAGAAAGGGAAGCAAGAAGCTTCGAGCTAATTGTTAAGCCCAAACTCCATGTGACTATCAATATGTGATAAACAGTTCAGAACCTCACACTTCAGGTTAGACTGACTGAGTTCACTGATGTGTTAATAGAAGTGTGTGGTCAAAGCATTGCAAGTCACTCGAGATAGGATGGTGAAGAATAAACTTTAGCTTGAAGCTAGGGTATTACAGCAAGAGCTATGCTACTTAAATACCATTCTGTTATCATGCTATAAATAAATGTTCACAAAAGATATTGTCTGTCATAGAGCTGTTATCCCTGCTGTTGCCAGGCTCTCCACAAAAGCTGTTGTCTTGCTGTTATGCTGTTGCTGCTGCACTGCAATTCAGAGACAAAAGAGGCATTGTCTCTCTCTTCACACCCCACAGCCATGCGATAGGAGAGTGACCAACTGGGGCGCTGAGCTAAGCATTCCCATGGTCCTAAGCGCTGGCTTAAGTGCTCTGACTAAGCAGAGATAGGGGTCATTTCTGAGAAAAAAGAAAAGAAAATAAAAAGAAAACAAAAAAATCGTAACAGGTTCTACCTGGTTTGATTCTCCCTCTACAACTCATGTTTTCAGCAGACTTGTGAGATGATATTTGCTCCAAGCATTGGCATCATTAGATATTGGTTCTGACATTGCTGAGAGATTGCTCTAGGTTTTATGGCTACCAGCACATCAATTGGACTGTGTTCCCAGTAGTTGCTTGCAGGCTCATAAACTCCATAGAGTGGGTACCATCTATTCCATGTGAAATGCAGCTCCTTTCAATTCCTGTCAGATTCCCATAGATGATGCAAATCATCAGCTTCATCCTTGTAGTAGGTTTGTGTATTGTCAACTTGACAATGAAATGCTGACTGCCACCTGTGAATTCAGCTGATGGCATTCTCAATCTGAGAGCTTTCAAGAGTGCTCCATATACTATCTGGTGTTTGTCAAATTTCATTGTGTTTCTGAGACTGTATACAGGTGTGTATTATGCTACCTCCATTAAATATTACTGCTGATTCTCAGTTTGATGCCTGTGCAATAGTGATGACTTACATTGGCATTAGCACCACTGCCTATGGCATTTTCTCTGAAGTCAGATTTTATCTTGTCTTGATTGCTAATGCCAGCTTGGGTATTGGACAAATAGTAGCAGGAACATGTGTTAATAGACTAGGCACCCAACCTTTTAATCTGGGGATTAGATCTGGTTTCTAATGCTTTTACAGGTGCCCTGAATGATTTGGGGCCCATGACAATCATTGTGGGTGCCCTCACCTATGTGTGACCATTTGCATGAAGCCTCGCTTCTATGATTGCCATCACAGTGACTTATGGGTAGGTTGTCTCCCATTCATGGCTCAGGTGATGCTGAAAGATCATAGGTTCTGCAGCAGAGCATATATCTCTTCATTCCTCATCCCAATAATCGAGCTAGGTGAGATAAGTGATGTTGGGCGACAGACAGGTATGGCACTCTCGATAGCGGCATTTGGTTCACTTGTGGGTCCTCCCATCTCTGGGGCTATCAATACAACAATGGGGGGCTTTGAGGCTATGGGGTATTATGCAGGTATGAGAACCTGGCTGATTCGGTCCGAGGGAATTCGATGCTCATACTTAGTCCTAATAGGCAGTGCTATCATGCTTGCGGTACTATTGATGTACATCGTCCGGTATCTTGTTCTTGGAACATTCAGAGGAAGATTTTGAGCCGACAATCCGACAATTCGACGTAACTTACACATATACAGCTCTCTTGCTTATTTAGACGTCAAGTCTGGACCGCAGGCACATCAGAAGTAACATACATCTGAAGCTACTGTAGAACTTCTCTAATTAGTCCCTCAAAATCGATCCTCCAATATCATCGGTGCTGTTGACAAACTTTGATGAAATATTATATATCATTGCAGTAATGTTCCTACAATACTATACAGTCAATCGTGAGCGTCTAAGGCACTTGTTCTTGCTCCCATCATCATCCTGACTGCATCTTAGCCGAGTAGAAAATTCGCTAGCCGACGGCTCCAGTCATCGTTGAACTTTGACACAGTCGTCAAAGTCGACAGGGAAGCGCTCGAGAGGGACAACGGAGCCGCTTTCCATGACGAACGCTTTATAGAGCTCCCTAGCGAAGAGATACCACGCACGCTTCATATGAGAAGGGTACCCTGGCAGGCCCGCATCATGTTGTGCATCTGCACCGCAACGACGGCGCAGGGCTCGATAAAGTCATCATAGCGATCTCAGCTACCCGGGTGCTGTCTAGCGAGACGCATGTGGAGGGCGTTGACCCGACGCATGTTCTCGCCGTGGATGAGACTGCTCGGTCCAAACTCGAAAACGGAGAGGAAGAAGGCCGCGAGTATCCTCGAAGCGTTGTTGCTTTTTGTTGAATATTTTGTTTGTGGCGCTGAGGCCGATAAGGTTCATGTCGACGAGGAGAAGGATGACGGAGTACATGATGTTGGCAATGAACTCGTTTACGTTGTAGCTCATAAAGGTTTTCACCATCTCTTCCCAGTCTTTCCAGGGGTCGAGAGCGGCGAGGCGCTTGGGATGGTCGTCAGATAGTATAATCTTGGTAGAGTCACTATAAGAAACTTATGCGATCGATCCATTTATACCTCGATTTGTCGGAGGAGTACTTGGAAAGAGAGCTATCTGCGTTTTCTCGTTGCTGAAAAAATGATCTGGTCAGAACTTTTGGATGCCAAAGTTCAAGGTAAGTGACCACTTGCGGCTGTACGGCCAGCATGAAATTTCTAAGGAACGGCGAGCCAAGTGTTGGGAGCGAAAAGAAGTGTGGATTATGTACCTCAGTGGATTCGACTAGGAAGTGAGGCATGGTATCTGAAATGAGTGGTCAGTTGAGGTTGTGCAATTTATCTGCCGTCCACTTGCATATGTACGGCCGTCGGTAATTGAATGGGGGGGAGAGAAGCGTGCACATATGTCAGCTGGACAATGCGATTCCGTCCTCTATAAAGACGCTGTTACTCACCGCGACTCTATAACGAGGAGACTCTCCAAAGTATAACATAATTAACGACTTCGAAAGCTAAAATGCGATGTGTAGCATGGAGAGACCGGCCCGCAATCGCAAATATCTCTCAAGAGTAATACTGGACTGCGTGCGCCATGTCGCGTCCAAAGCGTGCTTGATCACAAATGTAATCCAACATCCATCTGATTCACCAAAGACTTGCGTCGGTTATGAAGATGGAAGTTGCGCCTAGATGCGGGGGGGTTGGTTCACGCCAACCAGCAGGGCAAGGAACACCATGAATCAGCAACCATGTACTAGTTTTACTGAAAAGGACATGTCTAGTATCTATTATTCCGATATCAGATCTGTATCTCCACGCGTTTACGAACCTAAGCCTGGGTCAGGTGCTGCACGTATTCGTCGAAGTCGGTGCGCGTAGATGACCTTTGGTTTGACAGGCCAACGAGTACGTAGGTTGAGAGACAGTCCGTGCTCGTCTTAGAGAAGAACTGTAACCGTTTTTAACGCGGGTAAAGCTTGAAGAGTATACGTCGACAGTCTGAGCACACGCAAGGACGATGCTGGGTTCGAGCCGGTAGCGCGGAAATGTATTATTTGCGTTTAATACTGCGGTACACAGTGTGTGCTATGTCTGCCATGCCTGGTGAAGATAGCATGCCTTGTAGAAGGCATGCGAGCTATGGCAGTCCAAGCACTAGTAGAGACCATCCGGATAGTTCGACGAAGTGCTATTCAGGCCGAAGATGAAGATAAAACCATCCATGAAATGGAATGAGACGAGTTGAGCTGTAAAAATAGCTACGATACCGCCAATCGATGCTCAAGTAGTCGTTACATCCATTGCGATCTCTCGCCATCAACGGAACCAACTCACTACTTGGGGTCAACCATCGTTCGACAGGCCAGCGGGGAAGCGATTTTAGAGGATAACAGTTTAATAGAAAGAATATCAATATGAACACCTTAACACGGCAGAAAATGTCAATAATAGGAGATCGTTACAGGATTCCACCTACGGCCTGGGTGATCCTCTAGTTTCTTCGTGCTATCACTGATAGGATGGCTATTGTATGCTTGTTATTGAACGTCGACCCAATCAGATAGCGTTCTCGGCACTCAACCAGTCGTGTCGCATTGGACGCTGTGGTTCATAGAACGGTGTTTGTGATAAGCAGGCTTCTTGCTGCGGCCACTGAGCCAAGTGGCACCGATTTGAAGTGACAGACGACAACGACAGACATGGAATTAAATCCAACCGTGGCAAAAAAAAATTATCGAATCCGGAAGTTTATCTAGAGGAAAAGTAACCAGAAAATGGGAGTACCGTTAGTCTAACAACCCACTAGTGGTAGTCGCTGCAGGAGGGGGGGTGGGTAAAAAAAAAATCAAAGTAAAAATCCAGGAAATAAGGCAGCAGCATAGCAGAGGAAGAGGGGCGACCGGATAAGCCATTGAGGTGCCCGGCGACTGAACAAGGCAAATTCGGACGGCCCAGTTTGTTTGTGCGACATCTGGCTGCCGATACACAACCAAAAAGTCAAACCACGATGATCCTTACCTCCACTGTCGAGCTTGCTCTTCCGATACAGACTCGCGTCTACTAGGGCTTTTGTACCAAGGCTTCAAGATAACAGCCTCGATGTCTTGACAAGAAAAACAGCGGGACGTCCGAGTCGATCTCGGAATCAAATCTCTTCGACTCTGGTTTTTCATTCCGGACGACAGCAGGTCTTGCATTATTGCTTCTCGCCAGCGTTTTGCTCTTTCACAGGCTTTGTAGTTCACGCATGGAGGCTTACGGCGAGGATTACTGCCCACCGTCGCCTTTGACGGATTTCGAACGGCAAAAATCAGGCGTTGGTATTCTTCGACTTGGGGGAATAGCAGCAGCCTTCCTGGCTCGTCGATGGGTCGACTAGTCCTCAGGTTTACGGTCATCCGCTTAGGGAGCTCAAGGTATTCAAAGAGTTACAGAGAAGATCACAACAGCTGCAGGGCGATTTTGTGGAATTGGGTTGGGGGCGCAGTGTCTGGATATAATACTGGGAGGTGTGTCTTCAGCTTCTTCAGGCCTTGAGGCATCTCCTTGTCCTTCGCCGGTACCACTGGGGTCTTGACGTCCAAACAGATGTTCCAGCTCTTGCTAGTCCTTGAACAATATTGGAAGCACACTGCATTTGCCTTATTCTTGGACTCTGTCATGCAGCCATGTAGGGATGGGGACGGAGCACTGGAGATAAACAGTGAGTGTACCATTGTAAGCTTCGTTAGCCACTGGCCAGGGTCCGTCACTCACACATCGTCACAGGTGTGATGTATTATGTAATGTCATAATTGGCGGTCCCGTCGATGGCATGCAGTGACTGCGTAGACGGCATAGATATTGGAATGTACGCGCAATAAGCAAGATGGCTAGATGCGAGGACAGACAGCACAAGCCAGATTCCAAAGGAGGTACCAGAGCAAACAGTTCTTGTACGTCAAAGTCGATTTTCCAGCGCATACAGTCCAGTCTCAGGTTCGAGCAAATGCTTCCAGTATAAGCAGACAGTTTGATGGACAAACATCCTCGCATTGATGCCAGTGTTTGTGGACACATCAGTGTCGTTGGACGCCTCGCAGGTTGGGCATGGTTATGTAGGAAATGGGCGCATCCGCGGAATCAAATTTGAGCTCGCTGTTTCCTTATGTCATTCTGTGTTTACGCCAAACACACTGGCGACTCGGATATGGCTTCCGATATCGAAGCCCAGCCACCCTTTAAAAACCAGAGAAGCCGACCCTCAATTCTCCCACCACGCTCCTTTCTCTCTTTTCATGCCTCCAATCCGCACCTGCGACCGTCATTTTCCCTCTTTGCAAGCGGTTCTTCATCAAGCAGATTCTCTCCCTACCAATGCGACTATATACTATCGACACGTTCCCCTGCCCTCTCTCGTACTTCGATACGAGCCGTATGGCCATGCCTACTTCAACAGAAATCATCCTCTGATGGTGTGCCCATTTCTTGTGATACAAGCAACACTCTTTATTTAGCTGAAATCTGCGCAGACCGCAACTCATGATGGCGATGTCGATTGGGATGATTGTGTGTATTTCACCGTAGCCCTCGTGAGTAGCCCTAAGTCTCTGCTGCGAACGCGAAGTCTCATCACAGGGATGTCTACAGCCCACGAAGGAAGAGGCCGCTCTTGATGAAGCTCTTCCGGAGCCCGAGCCACCTCGCGGGCAGGTTAGGCGCTTATCTGTTCTTGTCATCGTGAGGCTCCTTTTCATTCGTTCTCGTACCCTCATTCATCTGACTAGGAACTAGCTCTTGCTGTTACTCGTCGTCTGCACCTCACTCGTTTATGAGCTGCGCCTTGATGTCAGAAATCTTGTACAAAAATCCCCTTGGGGCCGCCCGACGCTGCCATGAAAAAATTCATCACCAAACGTACTCACTGCTCTGCTTCACACTCCTTGGTTTTTATGTTGTATTCCTACTTTGGTGTTTATTAGCTTTGTTATCACTGTAATTTTTTACCCCTTCGACTGTACATACACTTGTCAACGCCCAAGCGCTAGGAATTATGGCTCCTGTTAGCAGTATAGAATAGCACGTTCCAGTGACCGTGACTGTGACCACGCGTTCTCCCTTGTCCATCATCTACCGCGATGTCCCCAGAGCCAGAAGACGTCAAGCCCAAGATCAATATCAACATACAAACAGATGACGGCACCAGTGCGCACTACCACTCCTCTTCCCCCTCCCGTCCTCTTCTTACGCGTCCATGAATGCCAGAAATCACCGTCCTAGTACGACGAGATACCAAGTTCTCCAAAGTCTTCCAGGCAGCTGAGGTGCGTTATACGCGGGACTGGGTCGAGCCGTGTCTTGACGAAGATGATGTAGAAAAAGTTCGGGAAGGAGCCAGGCGCGTGTTCTTGGCCGTAAGCGTAAATGGTATGCTTATGATGACGGCTCTAGGCACGTTCAAGTTTACGTATGAGGGCAAGCGAGTACAGAAGGATGACACGCCTGCAGCGGTGCGTTTTCGTATCTTTTATTGGTCATGGCACTGATGCTGGACCCAGATTGACATGGAGGATGGTGATACGATAGACGCGCATTTAGGGCAGGTACAATCTTGTCTTGTCTCTTGCTGTATTTTATGGGCTCATTCATTGGTCACTTAGGTCGGAGGCGGGCCTTGGTGGTGATGAACCATCTGTAGTATCTATGCTATATTCCTAGCAACTGGGGGTACTGAAGAAGACCGCCTTCAACTTGGATGGTGGAAGGGTGTATATACTATTCTGTCGCGTTTTACCGGGTATCTTCAGGTTTATCATCGCTGGCTTATTGGTTTTTGTTCTTTCCCTCCTGCTTTTTGCGTGTTTGTAGGAACGACACGCACCGACGCATCTGGTCGACTGGAGCCTGCCTGCTCCACCGGTCGTTTGGCCGATTTTGTGAAGAGATATGGACCTTAGTACAAAGGCCTCTGCTGAAATAATAAGTCTTGGGGCTCCCCCAAAATATATTATATATACAGCAAAAAGGAATCCATTGATGATCATGAAGCAGGCTGACCCAACAATGATGCTCTCTAGAGAGAAATCAATCAATGATATCTGGCAGAGATGCTGTACTAACCAGCTGCAACACGCTCGCCCGTTCTGTAGGCCCCAAAGCATTGATCTGCTCTGGCGTCATCTGTATGACGTGCATGATCATAGCCTACGCAAAGCTTGTTCAGCAAGAGACCGAACACAGAGCAGACAGCAAACGCACTTTTTGCTCATCGGGAATCGCAGCCAGGATATCCAATGGTTGTGCCGGGGCAGATTGCGGCTGGACGTAGGCCTGCTGCCCACCATATCCTGAGTATGACGGCTGGTTATGCGGCTGTTGGGGTACTGGCGGCGTAGACGTCGGTGTCACGGTCACTGCCGGAGGTACCTGTGCTTGCTGCTGTCCGTACTCGGCCAATATCCTCTACTTGCTTCAATATCAACCCCAGGCCCGTGTATCCCTCACTCCTACGCACCTGAAAGACATCGATATCCACCGCATCCATGCTGACCATAAGCGTGATGAGCGCATATGCAATTTGAGGTTGAGCATTTAGTATTTCCTTTGCCGCTGCCGGGGTCGTTTTCTGAGGTGGGTCCGGCTTTAGCTATGTGCAGAGGCGGCGTGTGAAGAGATGAACCTTGAGTTGGAGGAGGAGCTCGAGAAGCTGGTCGGTCTGGTCTGTTTGGGACATGGTGGCACGAGACTGACAAACAAATTCTTACTTGGCTCTTACTGCCAACAAATATTAAAATTAAAATCCTATGTCGACCCCAGCACCTTGGGATATCTCGTACATATGAACATACTACTCCCCCATGACCACATCTCCTTCTGCTTCTTCTTGCGACGCATTCCACCACGACACATTGCCGAGCCCTGACTCTGCTATCGAGCACTGACCATCGTCTCAACAGTCTGCAGCCAAAAAGAGAAAACTAAAGAAAACACGCACAATAATCTGATACGGCGCTCTCCTTGCTACCTGCTTCACATGCACTCCTTCAGTCATCTTCGGTGGCCCCGGTTCATCGTCATGGAACTCATCCGCCTCCACCCGCACACGTACGACCTCCCCAGCGTCAATGTACATCCTCGACGCAACGTCGGTGTCCAGCAGCTCAGAGGCAGTAGTCAGCTCAGACTCTGGCACCCAGAAAAACGCGCGCTCATTCGGGTCAAACGCCGAAGGTTGGGGGAGGTATACCGATGGTATGTATATGTCGTCGAAAAATCCCATCGTTACTACGAGGCCAGTCAGACGGACCAAGCGAAGATGCCATCTCGAGACGTACACCGAACAGATTCAGCATCCGACGACTTTACCTTTGCGACTATCACTTCGGACATGAATGGTCTAAAGACAACCAAGCGGAATACCACTGTATACCATTCTCAGCTTTGTCTTGAATCATTCTGGCATGATTGACAGACCTTTATAATACAGAAATCCATCCCCGTACCGAACCTTCCCTTCTCCCGCCTCTGTCAAGTCAAAGACGCTTACACACAGCCCAACGTCGTGCAGCACCCGGTTGGCGTACTTTTTATTGAGCTCGGATATGAGCGCCATTTCGGGTGGAATGCCAAAGTTGGACGGGTGAATACCGATGGTATCCTGAGATGGCGTTGGGACGAGGGGATTTTGGAAACGAGGCGCCTCTTACCTTGAGTATAGCGAGATTGAACATCACCGTGACCCGAGCATGAGTGTTAAGTGTCAGAATTTTTCGTTATCTTATCTCGGGTATAAAACCGGTAATCTAAATTGGTTCGGCTTGGTCGGCATCTCTCAAAATGAGCGACCCGCCGGTTTCTAATACTAATTCCTAAACTCAAGACAAAGTTGGGTCAGACATCTGGCAAGACCTATTTTCGCACCGCAATCCTTCTGGGTGGGATACAACGTCAGCTACTGTCTTTTTAGGATCGTGCAGGCCTAGTGGATGGCAAACTGCCTGTTGCTTCAAGATTAGGAAAGGTGATTGATTAATATCATGTCATTTGTAAGTAACGCTGGTAATTGCAAATATATCCACAGACGCTTACAGCCTTTTCGGCAAAAGTTGCCAGCGAGTCACCATCACGACAAGAGCGACACTGCGAACTTGCTGCGAACCTTGAAAGCGGCTGCGTCTTCAGGCGCTGTACTTGTTAAAAAAAGGAACAGTCCCTTTCCTTTGCAACACCCATGTCTCCCGAGTTACCCCCTGAAATATTATGCACCATCGTCGACGTCGTCAGCTCCGATTTCAACACACTTTCTGCCCTTTCCCTCGTATGCAAGACATGGCTGCCCCCCAGCCGTCGTGTGCTATTCAAAAGTTTGGTCGTCACCCCAGAAACAATGCAAGGGTTCCTGAAGCTCTTTCAGTCGCCACTGGTGTCTATTCCTTATTTCGCACAAGAGCTGAAGATAGGCAGGTACAAGATGGGCGATATACGCTATATCGATAGCTGTATCTTGGAAATCCTGGCCCCAGCCATCGAGAAGCTGGAGAGGTTAACGCTCCTCAGATTCGAGCACCTTTTATGGGAAACCCCGGAGACCCTGAGCTTGCTGAAGCTCTTTAGGCGTGTCACGTCGCTCTGGTTGGAGAACAATAACTTCGCAGACATACAACACTTGGCAAACTTCACGTCATCTTTCCCTCATTTGCAGGATTTGACGCTTATCTACACGGTATTACCTCCGAAGAGTACCGGTGACGATCTCAACGGTGCGGGTGTTCCGCGAGGTCTTCGACGACTCTGCATCGTCGGTCCAAAACTCGTTAACAGCATCATAGCCTGGGTTGCTGCATCGCCTTCTCCCATCTCACTGCGCCGTCTAGAATTGGGAGGGATTGGATTCCGAGTTACTCCCCATGTGCGCACCTTGCTCAAAGGAGCAGGTCCCCACCTTCGCGAGCTATTCCTTCGTCCCACGTCCCGTCCATTTTTTCCAGGCTGGAGTCCAGGTACGTTCTGCATTATCTGTGCCTCGAATGAAAAATCTGAGCACTGGTTACTCTCTCCGAAGATATTTCGCAGCATCTCGATCTTAGCGATAATACGGAGCTTCGTATCCTTAGACTGACAGGTGCAATTCAACCACCTTTATGTGACGCTATCATTGGCGTCCTCTCGACCGTTAATAGTACTTCGGTCGAGGAAATTGTCGTGCCCCTCCTCATACCATTCACAAAGGAATGGCAAGAACGGCTCGAAGACATACGTGCCAAGTCCATGTTTGCCGATGTGAAGAAGTTCAGCCATCGCTCTACGTCTGGCGTCCGTGATATAATGCCACCGACATCCGCTTGACACGAGATGGAATGGAAGGGATTTGTGGCGTAGTCAAAGAATGGCCCTTATCGATAAGGAGCAAAGGAAGAGTAACCTACACCAACCATAATACTTTGTTTCATTTATGAATATTGAAGAGACATCGCTGAGTCATACGTCGGGAAATCAAAGACGGGCGCCATCAATGGCTAAGACAATTACGGCCGCCCTGAAACAAAGCCAAACTCGCAGGGTATATAAGCCTGACTCGCACCCCGAACTCCCAGTTCACGTTCAGCCTTGAACGACCTAGCCTTTGATTCTCAGCCTACATAATGCCACTTCGCCGTCAGAACGCCATGTTGAATGTATGCGCACTGGGAACTCCGGCCCTCGCCCCTCCAAGCCACATCGTCCGCGGAGCCTCAAACATCGAGCAGCTTGTCACGGCGATGGATAACACGAGTATCTCCTCCGCCCCTCCCCCAAACGCCCCCCTCAAAAAGTCGCTGTACAAAGCAAAGAGAGGCCTGTCCAACCCCAAAGCCACCTCAAAACGCAAGGCTCTTCCTCTCAAGGCAGAATACAGTTGGATTGTCACTGACCCCTGGATCTACACTTCGTACATTAAAAGTGGGCGGGCCATGTGCGTAGGCTGCGGCCACCCCATCCAGTTCAGCGACAGCATCTCTTCGTGCACAGCCAGAGAAGAGTGGTTCGAGCATAAGATGAATTGCAAAGTGATAAGCCTCCAGAAGACAGCGAAGCAGCAGTTTGGACGGGTTGATTTTCAGGGTTGACTCCCTCCTGTGTCAACGTGTGTTTTCACATCTTGCAAGAAATTTGGCATCAATGCAGAATTATTTGCACTTCTCAGTTTTCTCACAAGTCTTTCTGTTCTCAATATAAGAGTATTGCACACCGATAGAATTTATCAAGTTTTTGTTTGAAAATCCATATGCATAAAAATCTAAATATTATATGAGAGAGTAGCTGTACCAAGCATGTAAAAACTCCATACTAAGAATACAAAATCATGTCAAAGTCAACAACCGATAAGAAGGAACCACCTGGGTAATAAAAGGTGTAACGGTTAATTAGCGTTGTGGAACCCATATTTTCACAGTCTGAATTGCAAGGTAAGCTCGGGAAGATGCCGATAATGCGAGGACAATCATACCTGATCGCTGCTACATGTTGCAATGACGTTCACCAATGCGGGCGGCGCATTCGGGTCTGCTTGATCCGATGTCTGTGTAGAGACAACCTGACGTCCCCAGGACATTGCAGTCACAAATCGCTCATGAGCCTCTATTTTCCGTGTGCAACGTCCAGTCTTTAGGTCCCAAATACGGAATGAATGATCGTCCGATGCCGTGAGGAGATGTTGTCCATTTGGATGGAAAACTATAGAGCGAACCCAATCATCATGTCCGATCTGCAGAGGAAATTGGATCAAAAGACGACAGAATAAGCCCAAGACCCTCACACACCAAAGTATGCAAACATTGGCCCCGGATTGCATCCCATATCTTGACAGTCTTGTCTCGCGCCGCAGTGACCGCAAAAACGATGGAGGCTTGAGCCGTCGCTTGTGCGCCTTGTGGAGCCTACGAGTTTGAAGGATGAAAGAACGACCAATAGGGAAGATAGAATCGAGGCGCACCTTAAGGGCAACCAGTTCGCGAATGGCAGCGACGGCATGAGGTGGACAGAGCTGAGCAGCCTCAACGACGTTGTCGTGCCCTCGAAATTCAGTCTTTACGTCACCAGAGGTCGTATCGACGATTTTCGCTGTCTGTAAATGGTCAAATGAGGACTAGGAACCAAAGAAAATGCCACATACATGGTCAGCAGAGCAGGTTATGATATATCGGCCATCGGTACTGGGAACAGCACATCTGATCCAGTCGTCGTGGGGTGAAATAACTTTAATGCAATGCCTGGAAAAAAGGGTCAACATTTGAGCCTGGACCATTTCACGGGGCCAATAGTGATATTTGAGGTCAAATCGAGGCTCCCGTTGTCAGACAGTCTTTTAGGTAGCACTAAGGCGAGTCTTATAGGCGAAAAAACGTACGTGGTAGAGACCTCCCATATTCTGAGGGTGTGGTCGCGACTGGAGCTCACAATACGATCGTCTCCAGGTAGAAAGCGCGCCGAGGATATGGAATGTTCGTGCCCTCGCAGCGTTGCGGAATTTTGATAATCATTGTCGATATTCCATAGCTTAATAAAAAGGTCATACGAGCATGTCACTAGAAACCACGAGTCAGCGTCGTATCAGACAGATGTTTTCAAGTCACGCACCTAGCATCGTGCCGTTCGAATTAAACTGACAGTCCGAAACTCGCTTCGTATGAGCCTTCAGTGTTCGTTCAAGCTCCCCAGTCTCCCAGTCCCAGATCTTGACGGAGCAGTCGTCGCTGGCGGTGGCAAGGACGGAATAGAGCGGGTGGAATGCCACCGCATTGACACTGTCACGGTGACCAGTAAGGGTATGCTTAGCAGAGCTGGAAGTTGGTAGCCAGTCTGCGTCGTAACGTCTCGCGGAGCCGTTGGGAAGGTGAGCAATATGTGCGCTATCCTCTAATGCCTGCGCTAGACGTGATTCAAGGTCCATAATCTACAAGTCTTCCAGCGAGAATATCGTTGCGCAGAAAAAGGCAGACGGACCTTCTTTTGCATTCGGATGACACTTGTCCATTTCTTAACGAGAAGACCACTACTGTTCTGGCCCAAATCGAATCGAAAGTCAGACTACTAGTCTTTGATTAACGAGCGAAATTGCAGAAAACTGGTCGACAAACGGGAAGTTCTTGCTTGAACTGGTCAACAGTCTTGGAAAATCCGGCGGTGTTGAGGTAGTCCAGGATGGATTTATGTCTAGAGACAGTCAAAAGATGAAAGACAGGTATCTCCAGAGCTTACAGGTCGTCTCGTTGTCGTTCAGAGAGTGTAGATGCCATGGCGGTCGGTGCATGCGATGGGTTGGATTCGAAAGAAGATAGAGAAGATAGAATTTAGATATTCAAACAGGGTATCGTTTCACGTCAGATTTCCTTTCTGAGATCATAATGCGAACTTATGTAAACATAATAAATACCACGTTCATTGTTGCCCCCACCTATTGATCTCCTTTTTCGGCGAGTCGGCGATGCAAGTATGCGTTGTCAACCCAATTTTGCGAGGTAATTTCATGGGAGACACGGTTTAGGACCTTAGTGACGTAGCAACTGTACCACGTAGACACCTTAGGCTGTGCGAACTGGAGCTTCGTTCAAGGTACATCAGCGTCTAACCGCCTAATTTTCACCAACCAACTGCGTCGAAACCATTCACATAAAACCAATATCTGCAGTGGTCGGTTTCCAAAGCTGAAGCTAGAAATACAGTTGTAAAGTCCAAGATCTGGAATGGCAAGACCAATGCTTAAGACCCATATTCTTTCTGGATGAATTTCGCAATAGTCTGCAACTGAATGTTCGACGTCCCTTCGTAAATCGCGCCCTATGACGCACGGTCAGCATACCTCGAGACACAAGACAGGAAACGTACGATTTTCGAATCCCGCCAGTACTTCTCCACCCCAGTCTCACGTGTAAACCCAACTCCACCCATCCACTCTATCGCCTTCCCACTAACACTCTCAGCGACCTTACTCGCCCACCACTTCGCCATCGCCGCCTCCTTGACGAAACTCAAGCCCATCTCCTTTCTCCGCGCTGCATTATATGTCAGCAGGCGGGCGGTCTCGATCTGCGTGGCAGCTTCCGCAAACTGGAAGCCCATGCCCTGGAAGGTTCCAATGGGTTGCCCAAACTGCGAGCGTGTGTAGGTATAGGGAACCGACAATGCAAAAGCGCCCTGTGCAAGGCCAAGCATTTGGGCAGCGATCCCAATGCGACCTTCGTTAAGGATCTCAATAGCAATCTATACAAGAGACATCATTAACGCGGGTTGATTAATATGACATACTCAATTACCTTGTACCCGTTACCTTCTCCGCCAATGATGTTTTCAGCCGGTATCTGATATCGTCGGTCAATGACGGGAGAACGATGAGCAGGAAGGATTACCTTGACATCGTCAAAGCTAAGTGTGCACGTCGAGGAAGCCCTGATTCCCAATTTCTGTTCCTTCTTCGCGATTTCGATGCCCATGTCCTTTGTAGCGATGAAACAAGTTATTCCCTTGTATCCCTTTGTTGGGTCAACCTGATTCAAGAATGTCAGACGAGCTAGCATCGTAAAGATTATCAATTATATGTACGTTAGCGAATACGAGGAAGATTTCGGCCTCATACGAGTTTGTGATCCACATTTTGGCACCGTTGATAATATAATTGTCTCCATCTTTTTTCGCGCGAGTCTTCAGAGCAAAAGCATCTGAGCCAGAGGCAGATTCAGATAGGCAGAAGGATCCCAGCTGGGGGATGTGAGTAACTTGGATCAGCGGGTCGGGAGGATCATACCTTTGACTCAGACAGTTGTGGTAGCCACTTGTTTTTCTGTTCTTCCGAACCGTATTTTCGCAACACAGTGTTAACAAGAGTATTGTGAACATCACACAAAACAGAGACAGAGGGATCAACTTTGGCTAGTTCTTCGATGGCGATGATTGCTGACGTGAAGGAAGATTCAGAGCCTCCGCGGTCGGCAGGTGTCTCAATACCCATAAGCTAGACATGGGTCCAGGGTAAGTGGAGGGCATAGGGTAGGAATAGGAATAGCACGTACTCCTTGCTCGAACAAGCCGCTGATAATGGAAGGATCCATCTGCTCATTTTCGTCCATTTCCCTGACTTTAGGTCGTACAACATCATCCGCAAAACGTTGCACTAAGTTGCCAATCAGCTAGGGAATGCACTTATCCGTCAGAACGCACCGGTCTCTCTGATCATCATCTCCTCTTCTGAAAACGTATCCAATGAAGCTATTCGGGCTCCTTCACTTTCTCTGCGGATCCATGTTGACGAAAAAGACCTGTTCACTGTCAGGGATGTAAACTTTAAGGAAGGTGATTCGGAGAATGACCTGGTAGCACGAATGGAACGAACAGATTTGAGTGGTAAAGCTCTCAAGGACGCTCTGAACATGGCGGTTGGAGGACAAGGAGAAAAACGGAACGCCTCAAATATCAAGAACGGAATTGAGATGAGCCCTGAAGACGTTATGGTGGCCCGGAAAGCACAAATCACAGGCTAACCCTGGAGCCTGTAACCGATGCGGGGTAATAGCCGGTCACGTGGTCGTAGGCAGCTCGGTTCGTCCACTGTCAGGGCTGTGCCCGGTTCGTTTCGTCTTACATCCTCAACGCGAGTCGACAATGACCAGACTGGCCTTTCTCCTTTCACTGTTGCCAGCAGCGCTGGCCTTCTCCGACACCTTTCCTACTGTTGCATGGTCGTCTCATTCGTGTGTCATAGTGGCCCATGCGACCCAATCACATACTGAATCATAGTTTGCAGCTCAAATGTCCTCAGCCGGCTTCCAAGTCGTACGCATTCAACGGACCTATTCCGGACTATCTTGCTGGATGATGATTTATGTGTGCATGAAGCGGTGATTGTAGTTGACCAGCCAGGAGTACGTTGTCGTCTCCCTAGGGGGACGTTCGATTTTGTTGACATCCTCCAGCTGCATGCCTCCGACTTACGAAACCTGCCTTCAACCTCCCATATCGCACGATCTCTAAATTCTTCGACATCATCGCGCCAGTACCCATATATTCGCCTCGACGACTACTCATCATCAGGAGATCTCATTTCATTCGCTCAGTCCGTTTCTGCGAAATGCAATGCGCGTCTCATCGGTCTAACGCCTGGGTATGGCGACGTCGCATTGGATGCAGGAAAGAAGTCGGTTGTCATAGTGAGTCTTCCAGAGCTCTCAGTTGAGGGTTACGCGAGGAAAAGCAGTATGCTGCAACATGGTACGTCCTCTCGTCTTCACATGCATGTAAGCGCCCTTACAACATTATGTCCAGATGAACTCCTGGAATTGACATTATCCGCTCTACCATACTCTCAGCACCTGACTATATACAGCACTTCTGTCCTCCCCACGCACCACAAGCGACAATCCCCTGACAGTCCACCTGTCTTGGACCTTCCACCTACAAACTTGCTGGCATCTCCGAAAGGAGGAATTCTTGCACGTTACCAGCTCCTCACCCCAGGCCTCATTCTTGCTCTTCTCATTGTCGTAGGAGTTCTTTTGCCCATCATCTATTTTGGTATCCAGGCCTTGGCAAGTATCCAGAGTCCCGTTCGAATGGATACCCCAAAGGGATTCAATGCTGCTGATAAGAAAAATCAGTAATCTCGGAAGGAGAGCAGAGTTGGACGATAGTCACTAGATATCACGAAACTATATGTTTTGATAATGCGAAACACGAATTCGAGGGGACAGAAATATATTCTCTCAAAGGACAGCAAGAAATAGGTTGGGTACGTGGTCGAGTTGTCGCCCTCCTTTCATTCTCTTTTCAGATCTTCAAGACAAAACAGCGGCGAGGTCTGGAAGTTGAACCTTAACCTTCTGTGACGATAACCTCGGCACGGTGTGAGTAGTCCCTCAGGCTGTTGTGCACGTCAAAATCATGCGGCGTGTGAAATTCCCATGATCCCCAGTCGTTCTTTCAAGGCGCAAGCCAAGGGTTGTTTCTTTTATTTTATGTCTTTGACGACGGCCACGATAAGATGATTAAAGCCCCTTTTTCTGAAAGCATCTATAACATCTGTAAGTCGCCAGTTCATACCATTCGTATCTCTTTGAGTTCACCGTGTATCAAAGGAGTACCATGATTCAATGGTCGGAGGCTGATTGTCATATTGAAGCTACACACCGCTGTTCCAGGTGCAAGGAACGCGTACACTGCAGCGCCGAATGCCAGAGAAAGGTACAAGTGACTCTTTTTCTCATACATAACTTCCGGCTAACAAAATGACGAAGGACTGGCCTACTCATAAGATGCAGTGCAAGAAAGCAGCCATCCAACCTGGCGCACAATCAAATTCATCTCTACCTCAAGGGTACATGATGGGGCTATGGGGGTCCATGTCTAAGTTGGGGTCCATGTATAATCCTGTGACGGGCGAATCTACTCCTGCAAGCAACAATGGCCATTTCTTCCTGGAGATGTTCGTATACTAGGCGCGTTACCCTGAGCGCGTATACAGTGATACTGGAAAACCTCCCTGGCGTCGATACGATACATGATGTGTAAGAGACCGAGAGACTGCAGGAGTATTTAAACTGCATGTGTTACGTAAGAAAATCATGGTGGAAGGAGTAATTTGTCCTGATTGCGAGAGGGGTGCAATTTTGGACAGAAGGAGTGAGTTTGGCTTATTCATTATAATTGTCGCTGTCGTTTTCATCTCTTCCGTATTGCCAAGGTATTGGCACCAGCGCTGGTCTGGGATTCGAAACTGCAAAACATTTTGCTAGGATGAATCCTGTAGGATTGGTGTTAACTCCAAGAGATGAAGTGAGAGGGAATCGGACTCTGGCATGTACATACGTTCGATTACCAGATTTATGAGCCCAACCAATGTTTGCCTTTACAGAGATCTAGAACCACATCAGTTACTCCAAGGCAGACCTATCAATTTCAACGTCGTCCTTGCATTTACTAAAGTGGTTGGGTATGAACTGGACCAATTGGATATCTTTGTAGAGAATACTGGCACTGCTACGTATAACTACGTCCAATCCTGTGCACACCTCCACTCTTGGACTGCTATCCAAGATAGAGTGTGCCGAAGACGAGAGACTTTGCAAAAAAGGAAGGTTCATGAAGGTGCGGCATCGTGAATATCGTTGCCTCGCTTCAGCTAACCTATTTTTTGCCTCAGAAGGGTCTTATCCTCATCTATTGATTCCGATGTAGTCCTGAATCCTGACAATGAGGAGTATAATGAGAATAGCGCGACGACGCGTACACAGTTACGTCGACACGGCTCACAGTTTGCTGTCGTCTCCAGGTATACAAGATCAACTTCGGAAGGCACAATAGAGGGTGCAGGCAGCCGTCCCGCAAGCGCCATGCCAACTGGTGCCTCGTATTCCTTGGCCCGGTAGCAAAACGGGACCACTATACCCCTCCGATAAGTTGTTATGTACTCAGGGTTTATGAGGTTGGACAATGTTCGGTTTATGACTGAGGTTGCAGAGCTTCACAATCAATGGCTGGATATGACTATCTCGTCCTTCAAGAGGTACATCTTGGCGAGTACACTCTGGAGGAAGTACACAACTACATATGGCGAGCGCTACAACGTGAGTATCCAACTGTATTTGTGTTTGGCCAGAATAACAAGTGTTGAAGCGCTCGTGATGAAGATGATCCCAGATGCGACACTTTTCCGATGGACGAATCCCGGTGTCAATGTGGTCTGGTGACTTAGATTTTGGTGCAAAGATGCTGCGTCCATTCCACCTCTCCTCTCGGGTGGAACACGTTACAGCAGTTTCTGGATAACACGCATTTCGTACTAGTTACGGTCCGGGATTCTATATGTTTTATGCGATAGGCATTCTTGCAAATGTATGGCCATTGGAGAACTTGTTCATACCGGCCAAGTGGAAGATAACGTCTTGTAAAGCGAACATTATGTTTGTTTAGATCTGCTTGCCAATTAGTTCCTGCACAGTCGCACACGTAGTCCGAGTCCTTCGGCCGGACTTCGCCTCGGACTTTCTTAATTTGAAATATCTTGCCAAAAATGGAACTGCAGGAAATGTGGTTCGCGTATTGCCGGTTTGCCCTCTCAATGTCTCTCAATGTTGCGACAACGAACGAGGAGATATCCAACGTAGCCTACCTGGTAGCGTCATCGTCGTCTCCAGCAACCATTGACGCCTTTCGACGACGCATTGCAGTACGACATACGGGGTCCTCCTTGCTGAATTCTTTGCTTTCAAGCATTCATGTTGCCGCCACTTCCTACATATATCTCTTTCGAATTATAAGGGGAATTCAGCTGGACACATTTAATGACCTCGACTTCAACGGCCTAAATGGTGAATTCTTTGCTGTCGTAAAGAGGACATATACTCATCCTTCTCAGTCGTAGAATCATCTTCGTTTTCTCCCCAGGATATCGTCTTTCCTACGTTCCCGGTAAAGGCTCTGAGGACTGTCATATCTCATTTCTTAAATTCCGTTCGAATCCGACTTCTTGATGATATCTCGCACGATGCCTCCGTTCTTGGTCGTCTCAATTCAGGCTTTCTGATAACTCATTCCACGACTTCAAACGAATGGAGTGCGCCATGGGCCATTATGAGGTAAGTTTCTCACACGGCCTGCCTTTCTTTATCTAATAGTCTCTGAGGCCTTTCGCGTATTGCCACCTTCAAGTCCACTTAACGTCATCCCGACTATTGATACACCCTCTTGTCATGCCAACATCCTTTCTTCCTGTCACGTCGTCTTTGACGCAAGGATCACCTATCTTGCTGCTGCCCTATGCTACTCCAGCTTATTTTCTTGCATCTTATAAAGGACCATGCTCTGCTCTGTCGAAACAGTTCAAAGAATGTTTTGAGGGTCTCGGCGTGTCATCTTGGGATCCTGATTCCTACATCATTGCCTGGGTCAATGTCGAAAATAGGCAGGGTGAAGATAAGGGTGTCATGATTATCTATCCGACGTCACTCTGTGTCCGATCACTGTCCCCCAATATCCCATCTCTACCCCACATCCCGGCCTTACCAGCTACCTTACAGTCCTCCCCACAGTCAACCCCATCTGTGCCCTTCTTATCAGTGTCCAGTCCCACGTCCGTAAGCGCGTTTCGGACGCTTACCATCTCCAAGAGCCGAGATATTACCCGAGTAGCCAAGGAAGTCGGTGGCTATGTTGACGCAGTTGCAAAAGAACGAGAACGAGAACGAGAACGGCTCAAGCGAGAGAGAGAGGGTGTGGGCACGAGCGTAGCGCAGCCTTCGTCGACTCAGGTCCCGCATCTATTTGTGCAACAGCAAGTTCAATTATTGCAACAGCAACAGATACAGCAGCAGCAAATTCAGCAGCAGCAGGTACAACAACAACACCAGATACTTGATTTCTATCCTTCTCCCCCTCAAACTAATTTAATGGTTCCCCCACCTTCGGATCATGTTTCGCCAGTAGCTCCCGTTGCCGTACCTATGGATGTCGATCCGCAACCGAATCCAGTTCCTTCTCAACCTTCCTATGAACCATTCAACTCAAGCTGGATGGAGGATTGGATGAGTGGCTTGGGCGACACTGTCAACGTCGGCAATGGTGGAGACAGAGGCATGAGCATAGGTATGATGGACTTCGAAGCTGATTTCACGGAGGACGATTTCAGTTTTTTTGACGATAAGCCACCACCTCCCATGCCTGCCGTGACGGGTTTGACTCCGGCCGCCCCATTAGAGGAGCCACATTGGGAGATCGAAGCAACACCAGATGTCGGGATCGGTTTACCATCACCGCCAGCAGAATCTGTGTTGAACTTTCGCGTCGACGATATAAAGGTACAAATGAAGGTCGATACTGCCGGTGGTCTATGGGATGCGATCCCGTTTGCAGACAGTTATCGTGCGACGGACGGGAAGTATAACATGGGTAAATTTTCTTCAGCTCCGGGCCGAGCGGAAGGATGGCGGAAACGGTATGAGAAAGTGACGGATCCGCGTCTGGGTGTGGTGAAAAGGCTAGCTTTGAGGGGAGCGAAGAGTACCAGTGAGCCTGAGAAGGATGACTGGGAAGCAGAGTGGCGTGAGGGGAATCCGGAACCGGAGGAGGATTCGGATGGGGCGGATGACAGCGATGAAGATATGGAGAGCGGCGGAGAAGAAGAGAGCGTGGATGATACAGAGGGAGAGAGGCCTTGTACTCCGCTGCCTGCGTGGATACCGATGGGACCGTCCCTGCTTCCCATCCATTTTCGGCACGAGGTCTTGCTTCCACTTAGTGCTCCCTTGAGGTCAGGTGTTGTTGGCGGCAGCAGCGGCGTAGGTACGGGTGTGTCGTCTGTTCCGACTCCTGTATCCCCTGGTAGGGTTGGGAAAGGAAAGTCATTGCAGGCCGCTGCCGAGAGCTTAGGGAAAGAGATTGTGGAAAACTCTGTTTGGGCAGCAGTATGGGATGGGGTGAATGCGAGGGGGAATCCTGCATGCATCGGCAGTATTCTTTGGGAAAAAGATGTCCAGGTTGTTAGTCGTTTATTCTCAGCTGTTCAGGGTATCGACGCTCCGTTGCGTCTGGAACAGTTGTTCGGTTTAGGTAAGTTGTTTGCACTGTTGCATCGTGTTGGAAGCTCATTATGGCCAGTGGGATCAACCAAAGGTGCGGAGTCGAGACTCGAGAAATTGGAAGCGCCTATGTTGCTAGTGGGGAAAGGGGATGCTGTGATACAGATATCACCACCTGCTTTACGATTTTGGGATAAGCTAGGCTTGGGGCCCAGAGGCGGAAAAAAAGACATTCAAGCATTCGTTGTATTTGACAGTCTTCAAGAACAGATGTCGGATAAGGTCAGTGAGTGGCTGATCAACCTCAGGACCGTCTATGAGGTAAATTGTGATAAGCATATTCGCGGCCCAAAAGCTCATTGTTTTCTTGTCAGGGAAAACACTTTGGCAAGGTTTCGTTAGGCCAAAGCCAGTTTTGTGAACAGGACATGAACGGTGTCGTGCCAATCCGCTATGATCTGTCCCTGCGGAAGACTTTAGGTACGTGAGTTCACATAATATTTTCCATTCTCTCAACCTCCCATTCAGATTCATTTATCGCTGGATCATCCACTCCACCTCCAAGGGAAAGTATCGTTGTCTTTATTGTTACTTCAATAACTACGATGACGTTACTCTCTCCTACCATGCGACAACTCTTCTCCGTCGTGCGCAAGGCTTCTGCTTCCCATCCCCAAATGCTCTTCCACTTTGTCCCGGAACAAATTCTTTACTTCGAGTCAAACTCCCATTTTGAGGACCTGTGCGGTTCCATATATGACCGCATACTAGTTCCTGTCGTCCGATCAATGTCGAGGAAGCTATCTCAAGCAGGAGAGGTGACGAAATTTCTGGAGGACCCCGCATTTGTTCTCGCAAGGACTCCTGAGGAATCCAAGGTAGTGTATAGTGGTCCCAAGGCAGACGCTACTGCGATGATCTTAGGTGTCATGGACAAAGGCACCTTTTTGCATGTGGGATATGGGGTAAGCGAATGCGGAAAATGGATTTTTGCTTCATGCAATGATCAAAGAGGCGATGGTCATAACCTTGGAGTATGGCTGACGAGCAAGGGAGGCGGTGAAGCTAACGAAGGTGAAGTTGATGAGATGACGTTTTTGGTCCACAAAGTGTGGGACTTCACTGCGCGTTTCGCCAAGAAGGCGAATATAGAGTGGAGAATTGTTATCGCTAAACTAGGTTCCATGGGGGAGGGCGAATTAGATGGTAAACACCTACTGGTTTTTTAAGAATTTGACTGACATCCGTTCGTTTAGCATGGACAAGGCATCTTGAAAGTGATACGGAAATGGGCCCCGTTCACGTGTCTGTTGTGGCTGTAGAGCCTTCGACGCCTTGGATGTTCACTTCGCGCCCCGAACTTGATGCAACCAAGTCTGCGTCTCCTTCATTAAAGAGTGTCGGTCGTTCTGCCTCTGTGTCATCATCAAAACCCTCCAAGAACAATTCGCACCCCGTCTTCGTTGACATTTCATTTAGCACGTACGCCCTATTCCAACAGTCCCCACTTCCCGTCTCCGTTCCTCCGACGCTTGGCGATATGGGTTTGGGTCTTGGATATATCCCAGACCCTTCGTCGTGGCATGGTGGAGAAGACACTCACCCTCAGAGCCCTTCTATCGAACACGACCACAGCAATCTTCCCCATGTACTGCCTCTTATCCCGCATGCGAGCGCAACACTTATTCGAGTACCTTCTTCTACGACTGTCGCTACTACGACTATGCTGCATATCCATTTATTGCACATGATTCGATCAGTGGGGTGTTCGTACCCTGCGTCAGACTACAACCAGCTGCTCCGCGATATCACCCATTCGTACTATGCACTTTCAGTTCTTTCTTCGTTGAAATGGCGCATGAAAGGTGCTAACCCGATTCTGCCTTTTCATTTGGGTGCCGTGGAGGCGATGAGGACAGCGGTTATGTCCGGCGGCTCTACGGACGCGCCTGAATAACGGTCTACCTTGTTTCTGTTTATTCATTCTGCGTATTTGTTGTCGTCATACCTTGTCGCATATAACCCCTGTTGTAACTGCTCATTTGCATATCTAGACGCTACATATCATTTTTGTACAATGCACGCTCTCATTCACTCTTGTATAATACTCTTAGTTTACACCATCTCCTTGAAATATCACAAATGGAACTAATATATGGGGGAATCTCTACCACAAAATTTGAGAGGTTCATTCCTGCGTCTTTATCAATACATGTTTTGCTCTTGCCCTTTGCTTTCGCCTGGACTTAACGGCTATCACCCCCAGAAAAGAAACGCAGTGCGGATACCACAGTGACAGCTACTATGCATATCAGATAAAGTTCATTTATCCCTGTTCTACGGGAGAATACATGGTTCCGTCATCATAACTTGTAGAATCTAGATTCTTTGTCCATGGTTGTTACCTAAAGTAAGAGAACAACACTGTAAGTACTATTGGGATAAGTAAAATGTATATAGGTATATGAGTTAATGAATATACCTCAGTCGGCACAGTATGGGTGAAACGACTGAGGATGCGGAAGTAACTACGTGGTATGTATACTGTCGGTGTGAAGTATAGGAGCTCGGGTAAATGAAAGAGTCCGTAGGCAGTGGTGTACAATATGGGTAATATAGGCGGGAAAAGTCAGGTAGCACGCGTTCAACATGCGTTGCATGGTCACGCAAAGGTGCAAATTCTGACAGTCCACTAGTGATTGACACCCAGCGTGAGCTCAGAATCTAACTCTAATACTAGGTCTAGCTCTTTGCTTGTGTGAGACTGAAAGAAACAAGAACTTAGGCTATGGGGAAGGTTTCTAGGAATGAGAAATGAGTGTTGGCAATATTGGCATTTTATTTAAAGGGTGTTGGGATTTTGCTGGAAAGTTCTGGAAAGGGCAATCCGGCATCATGCCGAGAGTTGATGAGTAAGCTCGAGAGAAAGTTGTAGTAAATTCTAGATATAATCCTGGAGAGTATAAATACAAGCTCTGTAGGAGCTGTAGAATAACAAGTTCATACCATCTGGCCTTACCAGCCTGGAGTCTACCCTGCGCAACACCAAGGATTTCCAACACTTAGTATTGAAAAAAATAATGTGCATATAGCATGTAAAAGGTTACATAAACTATCTGTGAAGACATAAGAAACACTGACAATGATGAAAAACACAACACACTGAGATCTGTCAAACACCAAACTCATGCTTACCCCTCTCCATAGATGACACCCTGCAACACTTCAGTTGAGATGTGCCACCGGGCTGAGGTTTTTCAGTGATAGAGTGGTGACAGCATAACATCATGACATAGAATAACACCTCCAATCACGGTGATAAAGGTGTGGGCCACCATTTCGTTCCCTGAGAAGGTCGAATGCCATGTAAGGCGGCGTACCCGTGCGACAAAGGGATGTGGCTTCCTTGATAGGAAGTAACCACGGGAGATCAAAGTCATTGAGGACTCCGCAGATATTCCCTTTGCTATCTCTTCGATACATGATATTGGCCATACTGATGGGTCTCTTGGGAAGACTTGGCCAAATTCAAGGTTTCCTTTTTCGTCGGTGCCGACAAGTAATACTTTTTTTCGTTGAGCTTGTGTCTTCTGTGCTGATTGTTTATATCAGATGGCAAGGATCCTATGACGACAAAAAAAAAACGCAAGGATAAAAGGGACGAACCGAAACCTGTTGCATCTTCTGGTACATCCTCTACACAAGAAGGGGAGGCTTCTATTACCTTTGGTCAATAGTCTGATCTCACCAGCACCCTCGTCGATCGTATCATCCGTGGCTTTCATCTCTTTCACCTCAATGACATGAGGCCACCCAGGAACATACTGCTGCAAACACCTTCCTTTGTCTTGGCCAAACTTTTTGATACGATCTCGAGCCTAAATATAGTACGCAGCATGCCCACGATGTCGGGGCGAACCATGTCATTTGACCCCCGCACAGGATAAGGGTCCATACGGAAAAACTCTATGATATCGTCATCCGAAACCTTAGTGCCGGGTTGCATCTGAGCCACGTCAATGACACGATTGCATACGTCTGTGTGAGGACAATACAGGTGCCTCTCCTTGTCATAACTCGTTCCGACCTCATTACATAGATCTAGGTAATACCGAAGTAAGTCTTTGAAATTCTGGTCATTCTGGACAGCATCGACGTCGGACTTGAAAGAGACACGCCAGTCGTCAGGAAGATGTAGAATTTTGACAAGGTCTCGAATTCGATAAAGATGTGATGGCGAAGGTCCTCTCTGAGGTAGGCATCCATTTCAGTAACATTATGGTCATGGTTATTCACTGTCTGCAACTCTATTATGGAGTGGCTGGCCGTTCCATGGCCGTACGGTGTATTCTGTGGTTGGGGTCTGGGCCTCGCCTTTGCCTTCCGCTGCTGTGAGGATCCAGCTACAGGAAGCACACCGTTGTCATTAGAGGTGAGGCTGCCGTTGTTGGGAGGAGTGGTGGGCACCTGCTCCGGTGATGATGAGCGATTGTCGCGATATTGCAGCGCCTCCATTCGACGTCGCGCCGCGCGTTTGGAGGCCAGCAAAAGCGTAGTCTTTCTCGCGTAGGATGGTGGGGGGGCTCCGATAAATATTACGACAGCCATGTCAGTTAATATGTGGAAAACGGAGCTGGAGAACAATGACAACACTGACTGAATGGCTTGATTTCAACCTGCGCTCACCCACGTGATCGCGGTATTGTTTCTATCTTGCGGGTCCCCATTTGGCATTCAACGCCAGCATTCCTTGCAACTTGCTCTTACTATTGCTCCAGCCTGGAAAATGCACCCCTCGATAATTACTGAGTACTGAGGGCACTCCTTATAAGTTCCCCTCCCTTTTTTTCTGTACTTGTCATAATTTGATTCAAGAAATCGCTTCGTGTCACCGCCACCCAGGGCAGCGTTTCTTGTTCTGCAGGTTTGCCACCTAGTATGGCAATTTGCTTCAAGTTCATATGCGGCATCTCGCCTCATGTCGACTCGCCTCGCTCGGCTGTCGAGGAAATATTGGTCTTGGCGGACAATCGATGTAGCGTCGACACACTACACGGTGAACCACATCGATAACAGTTGCCTTCGCGATCTTTTTTGGCTATGCCTTCATTTTATATCTTTATTGACGGCTGCTGACAGTACCTAAGTAGTATATAATATGAGGAATGATACACGGATAGTAATTTACAGTGGTGGTAAACGGTAATTTCTTAACCAAAATCCCGATTGAAATGACACTGCAAAGATACCACTAAAGAACTACCAGATAAATGACCTGCCTTGAGCGAAGAGCTGATACATATTGCGATACAGCAAACATAATTCTTCGCATGCCAATACACTTTTTGAACCTCACCTTTGAACAATCGTCCACGATCTCCAAGTCTCGGGATCTTAAATCGTGCTTGGGGAGGTCCACCACTCCAGGCTGCCAGTGAGTAGCCCTACCATCCGAAAAAAATTTCGGATAACCTAAGAATATTGTAAAGATAGCGTTGTCTCGAGAAGAACGTAGCCACGATCGTTTTGAGTCTTGGCATTTGATTTGCAGGGAACGCCTGCGCCTGCGCAGTTAGAATATAACGTTATGGAGAAGCCAGGCGTCCGAAAGAATGACAATGGCACAAGTTAGCACGAGCCCGCGCAGGCAAAGTTCATCACTCACCAGTTGTCTACAAACATTTATCTAAATCTGATCATTGGATCCTACATCGTCCCAAAAACTACTTCGCAAAACATCGTGACATATGACGAATCGTTACCAGATGCACGGACAATACGAGATAGAGAAGAAATGACGCTTCTTGGACCATGAAAATAGTGAGAACTAGCGCCCTGATATGATGTGTAGAAACTTTAGTTTGCGGAACTGGCTGCTATCCTGTCCTCGCGACCGCCGCGCCAAGCGCCTGCGTCCGAATTGCAAGCCCTCTCGTCTTCTCAATCATGCTCTGGTATATCGGGAGAGGCGGACGACTTATTTGGATGACGTTCTGTGACGGACGGATTAGTCCACCGCATCTAATCTAAACCAAGCACAACAAACCTTCTCCAAATCAATCTTAGTATCCGCGCCCATTCGAGTCTCACGGATAAAGTTGACGATCCATTTTTCGCCCTCAGCGCGTGTAAGGTTCAGCCGATCAGAAAGATCTCTGTATTCATCACATTTAGGACTGCCACCAACGCAACCGGACCCAGCGATATCAATCTTCTGGTGAATTCGATTGAAGCCTCGGTGATCAGACACCTCGCATTATCAAAAAAACTCCGAGAAGTACCAGTATTCCGATCCCGTCACCAATTTCTTGAAAGAACTCTACGTCGAGTTTGACTTTGACAGTGCCCAAAAAGAGCTCGGTAAGGCTGAGAAAGTGGTTGAACGACCACTTCCTACAAGAGTTTAAGGGAGGATTCCTGAAAAACAATCAACGAGTTGATAACAGCGGCAAGAATAAATTCAATTCTGTTTATACTATCCAATCCTCTTCATTGTCCGCATCATTCCAACCCTCTCTAGGTAGTGGAGGCTTAATCAACATACTGCCAGCACAGTTATAGCGTAGACAAGGTCGACCGACACAGCCACATCGTGAATGGCATTATGCTACGTAACCAAGAAATTCGCGACGTCTAATGTCAGGATGTACCAGGATAACCTGCCTCAGCTTGTTCATCGGCCGAGAACCAGCAATTTTACATTGAGGCTTTGAGTTGCCAAAGAGAAAAGTCGAGAAACTAGCGGGATGATCGTGATCCTTGGATTTCACAAGGGATATCTGGACAATCCATGGTGCTTTGATCAAATTCTGTGGGCTAAGCAGATATAAATCAATCGACGTACTGAGTGCATGAGAGGCAGCTATAAGTGCATCAAAGCCTTAGAGCAACTAGGAGCCAGATGAAGCCCTCAAAGCGAGCGCTTTGGTGAGCTACCTTGCATATATTGTTGTTATGATTCAATCATAAGCATTTGACAGAACTCACGTAGTGACCGTCTGCACTGGGGGGCGGTGAGAGCAAGCAGCAGTGCTTTTTCTCTTGTCTTTTTACTGCTCATTGAGACGAGAAAAGCGTTCCAGAGCGCCAGCGAGATCCAGTGAGCATCGGACAATGCGCAGTTTTTGGTCGAGTCCGCCTGTTTAGGCAGAGCTATGTGTCCTGTAGCTCACGTCTTTGACAACTCATGCTAGACAACATCATCGAGCTTGGCCAGGTCGTTATGAGGGAGCATAACCGGTCCTCATCCCGGGGGGTTGTCCTGAACTTCCGTCAACAGTGCGACACCGTAAAGAGCACCTCAATGTATCACCAACGACTCCCGCAATTCTCTCCAGAAACTATCTCCAGCATTCATCCTCATTGTCTGACAGACCCCTAGACCTGGAAACATTTTGATGGGAGAGTTATGACGATATTCATTGAACGACACGTTTATTGTTCAAGTATTCTTTGACAAGAAATGACAATCTGACAGGGAGGAGACAAGAGGCACAGGGCGTGGGAAAGTTGTGATATTTTTTCCTTTCAGTTTCCGCCATGACTTCGCCGCGCCCCGCAACGAGCTCGAACCCCTTGTCGTCGTCCACCGCCGCAATGGCCCGTGTCGATACCCAGACCACCGTCCTTGACACAGCCCATGGTCGAATTCTCTGCATTGCAGACATTCGGGGCCGTCTTTCGGCCCTCAATGATCTTGCTCGCGAGAATCAGGCCATTGCCATCATCCACAGTGGCGACTTTGGTTTCTTTGAGGCCACAAGTCTCGACAGGATCAATGATAGGACACTGCGGCATCTTACTACCTACTCTCCTCTGATTCCCGCTCCCCAGCGAAGCCATTTAACCAACAATAACAACCCACCATCTCTTCTTCGTTCGACAGTCACCGTGTCACTCCTCTCGGAATTCCCTCTTCTACTTTCCGGTCAAATACAGCTCTCAGTCCCTGTATATACCACTTGGGGTGCATGTGAGGATGTGCTTGTACTCGAAAAGATTCGTCTTGGCACCTATTCCGTCCCCAACCTACATGTACTTGACGAGGCCACCACCCGTTGCATTGACGTAGGCGGCGTCAAGCTACGTCTTCTTGCGCTCGGTGGTGCTCTTGTGCCGCACAAAATGTTCGATAATGGGGATGGAAATGCTACTATTGCAGGTGGACAGGGTACGATGTGGACAACAGCTCTGCAAATCGGACAGCTTGTTGACACAGCCCAGCGCGTATTCGACACGACAGAAACTCGTCTGCTCGTTTCTCACGCGAGTCCCGGGCGTGAAGGCGTCCTCGCTCAGCTGGCCCTCGTCCTCAGAGCAGATCTAACCATCTCTGCCGGACTGCACTTCCGTTACGCCTCTTCTTATAACGAGTTCAGCATCCAGCCAGACTTTGAAGCTTTTCGGCACAAGCTAATAAGTGGCAAGGAACAGTTCGACAAAGTCTGGGAGAGTGTCAAGACACAGGTTGACCTTGTCATTGATGACAACCAACGTGTTCTTCTAGATAAGGCCCTTAGCGTCGTGGAGAAGATCCCGCCCCCACTCCAGGCCGCTGAAGAGGCCGCCTGGAAGAACTGTTGGAATTGGAATTTGTGCGATGCCGCCTACGGTGCCTTGATCCTGGACATCAAGGACGGCCGGGTCAGTGCAGAGTTGAAGAGCCAAGGTAAAGGTTTCTTACTCTTTCATTTCGCCGTTCGTTAACTTCTGTAGGTTTCAACTATGCATATAGACGCGTTGCGCCTACGCCTACGTCTGCTGTATCTTCCCTTCCTCACCCTAACCCTGTCAGCAGCCAGCCGCCGACGAAAGCAGCAACACCTGTTCCACCTGCAAATAAACCCACTCCACCTCTACCTCAGCCCCAGTCTCAAGCCAAAGATGAGGCTGAGGCGGCACCGAGGGTGACAGCTAGTTCAGCGACCGACTCAAAACCAGACAAAAAGAAGAAGGAGAAACGAAAGGACAAAGAAAAGGAAAGAGACAAGTCTTCCGCTACATCTCCTATTCCAGCATCCCCTGCACCACTAGCTAAAATAACGTCTCCGGCACCTCCCAAACCTTCAACACCTGCACCGAATGATGATGTCGTCAAGTCCCCTGTGACAGAGTCCTCAGGTGTTCGTACGCCGCAACGAAACAAGCCTCAACGCAACCCCTGGACAATATTCATGCGCTTTACCGTACCTGCTAGTGAGGCCGAAGTGAGAGACTTCTTTGGTGATGCTAAAGACGGCGTATGTCCCACAACAGTTTGAATATTTACCCCTTGGGCTTGACATCTTGCTTCTTTAGATCACTCGCTTGACATTTCCAGTGGTCAAGTTTAACAATAGGATGCAAAAGATTGCCTATATTGAGTTTGGAGACGAGGAAGCTATGAAGGCAGGCCTAGAGAAGCATGCGGAGGTGAGTTAGCTTGACTAATATTTGAGGTCCAAGAACATTCTGATGGGAATCCGACAGAAACTGAACGATTCCATACCTGAGGTTAAGCAGGCAACGGACAGAGAGACACGTCACAGCGAGAACGCGCCTCATCGGGGACGAGGAGGCGGTGGACGAGGCAGAGGTGGAGGCTTCGCAGCTCGAGGCTTCGCAGCTGCTGGGCTGACCAGACGCGACAGTGAGAAGAAGACAGAGGATAAAGCGGAGTAAGGGTCACCCCATTTATTATTTGTTTATTTCGTCGGATACTCTCGTTCTACTGTACTTGTTTTGTTCCATCGTATAATGTCTCTTATGTCCATACTGTTCTTTGGATTCGCCTGATACCTGGTTTCATACGTTTTCTTTGGGATCATAATCATTCCTATATATACAGTAAGTAGTTTTCTTTTTGATGTTGTCGTTTCGAGCCTGCATGCTAAAGTATGGTGTTATGCAACGTGGACTTTTTCTGTGGGTGCTTAAAAATCACTGACTCGCTGTTCCAGCGGTGAGGTGGCAATTCAAACGCGGTGTGAGGCAATGAAATTCTTTAGACCCTAGTTTAGGGTTTCAACGCCATGCACCCGTCAACCAGCATGGAATCTGCTCATCGCCCACCACGACCCCCATCTAGTTCGTCCCGACGTCAGCCACCGAGCCGACCTACGTCGAGCCTATCAACACGATGTCCAACCAGTGTAAACACTGTCATTCCGCGTCCTGCTTCCAGCGCGTCTGTTCGGCCCCATTCTCGACTCACGCAGCGTCCACAATCACGGCTTGCTCGTGCTCACCATCAGCGGCTTACTGGTCTATGCGAGGATCTCGTACGGGGAGTTATTGGCGATGCAGATCAGGACGAATTCCGGGAACAAGTCGCGTATGCGACGCGCTCATTGAGTGCGGAGGGAACGACGCTCAGCAAAGCTGGCGTTATTCTTGGTGAGGAAGAAGTGGACAGGATGATTCGTGGGTCGGAAAAGTTCATTGTCTTGATTACTTCTTTCTCAATGTTTCTTTTAGACACGTCCAGAAAGCGCGAATTCAGTCCCGAGACGCTCTTGCAGATGCTCTACAGGTATCTCACAAGGCGCTGAAAGTGCAGATAGAGAAGGCTCATGATTTGGATCAAGAAATCAAGGTGCGACGCCTGTCTCTACGTTGGTGACTGAGTATTAACTGTGAGGCAGTCTGTTCATGTACCCTCACACCTTCAATTACTAGTAAGCTCGTGTCATCAGAATATCTACGAACATTGTTGAAATACTTTCAGCTCGCTCTAGCCAGTCCACCCACTGCGGGAACCCTGGCTCATGCGTCAGCATATCTTGTTTCACTAAAAGAGCCTCCAAAAGAACCCGAAACCTTGACGTGGAAGAAGATCCTCGAAGAAGAACCCTTTGAAGGCGAACATTGGGAGGGTGTTTACGGTTTGCTACCGGGAAGTGTCAAGAATTGGCGTGAGCCTGATTCACAAAGCGACGTTTCATCAGTGTTGTCGTTGGACTCGGATGATTTGGATCTCGATGACTCGTCAGAGTCGCTGCCTACTCCTCCTCGATCGCCTTCGCCTTCGCCAGCTATCGATAAGCCTATGCATGACGTACGGGTATCCATATCTCATCGTAAAGAGGTGGAGGAGTTGGAGTCGCGACAATACTGGCGAACTGAGTGGAGAATGCCCATTGAAGGCACCAGAACAAAGTTTGATATAGGTGATGCAAGCACTTTAGGTATGTCGCAGCTTCTTTTGCTGTGTTCACCAATGTGATCACACGAGAGCAGGGCCTACGTTGCAGAATGTCCTAGGGAGAGACGCGTTTGGCTTACCAACAGAGTTGACGCATATTCAAGACGTGAGTAAAGGACTTTCGTGTTTCCTTCCGTGCTCATGCATTTGAAAAGCGATATATATACGAGCATGATGCTGTACGAGAAATCCTGTTTGCGTTGCAAGGACGCGAAAACATAATGCTTCAATGGCGACACGGAGAGTACCGAACATCCGTGGCTACTCCCCGACTTCTCCACCTGTCTCTAGCATCTCAGGCGTCCATTTTAACGACTCTGGCTCGACCATGCACCACTGTTCAACGCCTTCGTGACTTCATCAATCATGTCTTCAAGACACCCAGCGGTTCAAAGTCCAAGACACCAACGCTTGAAGCTTTTGCTGATGCTCTGGATTCAGAGATACGCATGTGGGATGCTTGGTGTGCTAGTAAGGAGGAAGCGATATGCAAGGCCACGAACGGCGTGTCCTACGATGACGGCTTGGTTGTAAGCTTGCTTTCCCTAGAAATGCAAATTCGAGACATCTTTGGCGAGTCATTCTTTGTCTTGCTGGATGTAGTGCGAACAGTGTTTGGGGATGATTATTCCGCCAAGGCTTCGCCGGCGACGGTAACGGCATCACTGTTGGACCATCTCTTCGTTTCGATGCAGAAACATTTGGAGAGAGGTCAACGGATGACGGCAGGCATGATCATGAGGGTGTTCATCAGGAGTGCAGAGCCATTATGGGGGATGGTGGGACGGTGGTTAAAGGATGGCATGGGAGTGGGCGATGTCGATGATTTGGATGATGAATTCTTCATCGAAAGTAACGGGCTTGGATCGGGAGCATTTGGTGTAGGACTGTTGGACCCGGATTATTGGGCTGAAGGATATACCTTGAGGTATGAAGATGAAGATGAAGAGAACGGCAGTAGGAAGGGAATACCAACGTTCTTCCGGCACATTGCTGAGCCTGTTTTGGGGACGGGTAAGGCTGTAGGGCTGTTGAAGGCCCTTGGCATCAATACAGCTCAGGATCAATTCGTCCGGTGGAACTGGAGACCGCTTGCTGAGCTTGTGGCAAAGGAGACAGGACAAGACGAGGCACAGGGATTGTTCTCGGTGTCCATCGACACATTATCCGGTCTTATTCATGATGAGCTAACGCCTTATTGTCTCTTAATGGGGTCCTGGTTATCCAACGCTATAGTGGAGGAGTGCGATTTATGGGGACACTTAAGAACCATCGAAAATCTTTTTCTGATGATCAAAGGCGATGCCATGAGCCATTTTTGCGACGTGCTTTACGCTAAAGTGTGTGCCTTCTCTCATTTAGAGCTTGGCCGTCTGATATTCATCTTTTCTTTAGATGGACACTCAGCAGCATTGGAGTGACTTCCACTTTCTCAATACTACCTTCAATGATGTGGTGGAATCCGGGAGCCATGTCGGGGCGAAAGAATGGGTTCAACTGTCATTGGTACGGTTTTCGTATCGTGGGAGCCGAGAGAAGGTTGCCGCAAAGACTGTAAAGGCCCTTGACGGTCTTCTCTTGGAATACGCGGTGCCATTTCCATTGACGTACATATTTACGCCCAGGACCCTTCAGGTGTATGGAGAAATATTCGTCTTTCTGTTGCAGATCAAACGGGCGAAGAACGTAATGGAGAGGATTCTCGTGCGTGGCGATGATAGGAGAGTAGGAAACGAGCTTAAGACTTTCTATGCAATACGGAGTAGATTGAGTTGGTTCGTGAAGTAAGTGGCCCGTCTTTGTTTATGTCTTAAAGCCGTATGGTTACTGACCGGACCAACTAAAGCGCCCTTCTCAATTTCTTGACGACCTACGTACGTTCCATTACTGTGTTCTTATCCATCTTTCTGATGATATTACGGTCTGTAGGTCATTCATGTCCAAATTCTGAAATTCCACGAAGCAATACGCGCGGCAAAATCGATGGATGAGATGATACGCCTACACGACGAACAGTACGTACCTTGCATCACGATGCAGGCTTCGAATTCACATCCTCTCCAGTCTAGATAAATTGCAAGGGCGATGTCTATTACAGAACAACGTCAGTCTTGTGGCTTGAACTGCTGCGGAAGCTAACATCTCCCATAGACGACAGCACTTCATCGCACGATCATATCTATATTAGATATGTCTCTACACTTTAGTGAAATGTTTGTAGCCTTTGCAGGAGATACTACCACACATGATATTTCGCGACCCTTCCTCATCACGAAGCGTCGACGAACGCACGCACAGAAGCGTGCACGTAGAGATGTTGTCGGCTTTTCCCAGTTTATGGAAGATGCCAGTGATAGTTCTGATTCTGACGAGGAATTCGAGAGTGTCGTAGCACCCGAGTCGTCCTTTTCTGTTGGGGCTTCGACGATATCCTCTTCCATGGACGATGGGGCAGTCCGATTGGATAAGATGTCATCAGAGTTGGACGCGCTTGTGCGCTTTGTGCGAAGAGGAGCCGAGAGCCTTGCGGGGGGGACAGGGGATGCTGCGGCCACATTTGGTGTTATCGCATTCACTCTAGAAGACTGGGACATGTAATTGTTTCAAGAATGAAGACCATATTAATAATACAGTAGCATGGTAAGGAACTGAACCATAAAAGACTCGACGGTCTACGGATCCATCACAATACTAGCACCATGGTTGTCAACCCGACGATTTATGCCTCCAATGAGGGCCTTGATGAGATATTGAGCAGTTAGCTGCCCATGGTGCTCGGTTGTGTCAACCATGTCCTGTGAGTGCGTCCGATCAGCGGATGCCATCGTGCTAGAGCGAGGAGAAATTTTCACCCGAATGTCATACTTATTATGAAGATCGTCGTCCAGCTCTCTCAGGTATCGAGCAGCTCTGCTTGAGTTACCGATCTGAATGAACTGTATGCCAACCTGTTCACCGTACTTGACATGAAATTTTGAACCGTAACCATGGTTGATACAAGATCATACCTGCGTCTGAGGAAAATTGCCTTTGTCAAGGCGTTTTGCTATAGACGCAATGACGGTGGCGGGGTCATCGGCTGGTGAGCCACGATGGTGAATTAGCAAGGAAATTGCACAACTCTAGATCCATGAAAAGCTTACTAGCTTGGCCGTCAGTTATGACGATGTAATTCCTATGCTTAATCTGCTTCAACTCTAGATGAGTCTTGGACTCGAGGAGATGAAGGTAATCTCCCAATAGATCATCTAACCTCCCTCCAATGGGGGTGACACCCTTGGGGCGAACAGAAGACAAGAGTGTCCTGACTTGCTCGTCAGTCTGAAGGCAGGAGTTACAATATTGCTGGGAGGATAATACGGATCTAAAGAAGTCACCTTGATGTTTCTTCCAAATCTGGGGCTATTCAGAAAGTAGATGTCTATACCGTCATCATCATATTCACCAGCCAATTTTGCCAGGGCCGATAATGCCTCTGTAGCCTGAAATAGACATGTGAAATGTGTTTTTCCGCCGACTAGAATATCACGTACTTCAGTCCAAGAAGGACCATACATCGAACTTGAATCATCTAGCACAATGACGGTATCAAACGTCCGGAGCATCTCAAGAGCATCTTCAAGAGATTCTCGTCGATAGGGAATACGGAAATCTACATTTATGTGTGTTAGATAACAAGACAAGACTAGAATTAATGAGACGTGCTAATACTTCTTCGATTGGCCCGTACTATCATGATATATTAGACAGAGGCTCATTGTTCAGAAAGAAGAATCGTACGCCTTGAAGGTGAAGACGGCTGTGACGAGGAATGCCGCTGGCCTGACGATTGATGCAGAGAACGGAGACTCAGATTCGAGCTTGAATGATTTGGAGTCAAAAGTCGAGCATCCAACCGAGGTGGCGTACGTGAATACGGCGGAGGTGGCGGGATATCATCCGTGTCACTGCGACGAGCTGTAGCACTGGCAGATCTACTTCGTCGGTGACGGGGATTCGATGCTATGTGCACTGAATCACGACTTGTGCGTACGCCACCGCTGTCATCCGCATGAACTTGGAGAGAAAACTTGGGTGGGAGGTCAGTGTCTTTGTATCCAGAAGAAGACGAATTTCCCATTTGCGCGTAAGATTGAAGGGCTGAGGTAGGTGAAGGTGGTGGCAATAAACCGGAATGTACTTGACCCCATTTTCGCTTTTTAAAATAAGTGCTCGCGGCCAAATATAGAAATGCAGTGATAAGAACTCAGGAGGAAGTTTTGAAGAACTACAGCACAATAACCCAAAACCTCGTTTGTTTCTGTTGCGAGTTTCAACAATGGTTCAGTTCCGCAACATCGGGTCATGCTATTAGAGCGTCTACAATCTATACAGCCATTAGAATGCAATTATAACTATGCAAGACATCCAAGAGCGCCGAGTGTGGTGGCATCATGGCTTGTCGCTTGTCACTCTTGCTGTGCATGTTCATAGCTGCCGATCAGGGTGCGCGATAAGTGGCTTGATTCATTACACCAAGGACCAACAAAAAAACTCACGCGGAAAAGGAAGGACAGCTGCATAGCCACAGTTAGCTACAAGAACAACAACACAAGGTAGAGGAAAAACTTACATCAGCGGGCGTTAACCTTCCCATAGCCTAGCACACGATTCATGAATCAACAGCGGGCGTGGATCAACAACAAAACACAGCCTTACAGAGTCGTCCGGGGACAGCGTTGCGTCGATCATAGCCGACTTTTTCTCTTGAAGCTAAGTTGGCAAAAAAAATTGTCATCGCCGCCCTTATCGCTTAGAGCAACGGCACACCGCACCTGGACAATTCGGCTCTCGATACTATCTTCAACAACCAATTTGATGGCCTTCACCGGCCGGTGTTGTCCCAAACGATGGATCCGGTCCATGGCCTCTGCGTCGCACTTGATGAGAGGAACGGCCTACGGAATTAGATTTCATCAAAACTCACGGTACTCAACCTAGGTTTATTTCATGTCACTTGTGATTACGAGTACGAGAAGAAAGAGCCTTTACTTACAGCAGGGTTCCACCAACTATCCATGAGGTATACACGCGACGCTTCAGTCAGATTTAGGGCCACACCGCCCGCCTTCAAGCTGACGAGGAACACGGTGACATCAACATTATTCACTGCATAATAACAGTCATGAGACTCCTCCCAAGAGGTATGGGCTTCCAAGAACGTACTAAAATGTTTAATGGTGGCATTACGAGCTTGTGGACTCATGGTCCCTTCAAGACGACAAATCTATATGGCACATGATGAGAATAAGCGCTCGTAGACAAAATTAAACTTACTGTAAACCCTGCCTTCTGGAGTCTAAAAGCAATAAGATCGAGGAAGTTTACAAACTGGCTGAAAACGAGGCTCTTCGTCGTGGCATCCTGCATACGCAGATTGCTCAACTCTTCTACCAATGCCTCAATTTTCGTGGAAGATCGCCACGTGTCAATGTCAAGTCGGCCAAGAATTCCTTGTCGCGCTTGGGCTTGTTCCTCTCCAAGCTCTAGCGCAGGCGCCTCTAGATTGATGGTCAAGACCAGATGACACACGGGGCATGCCGGCTACAGCACCACATGAGAAAAGAATTGGAAACGCCAAGTTCACACTTACATTTTGTTCGACAGCTGTGTTCAGATACTGCTTGATACATTCCCGGTCGAAGATGTGCCGACACTTGGACTGAATGGCATCTTCCGCTATGTCATTACAAAGTCGGCAAACCGTGGCTTCGCCCTCATCTTCTGGTACAAATTTATTAGCATTGGTCTTGCTCCGAATCACAAGATCCGGATGACAAGCCATTTGCCGCATACGAGTCAGCCTATATATATGAAATCGAGTCAGCGTCACTTGATCCTGAACAGAGGCTCGTGCTTACAAACTGAAAATATTCGAATAATCTGTACGACGCCGTGAACACCGACTGCAAGATATAATAAAAAAAACTTGACGAATACATACTATTCAGAATGGTCCCATGATCCAGGTAGGTATTGAACTGCCTCTTGGCATCTGAGAACAGGGACGTATAAAGCTCTTTCTCCTCTGGACTGAAATAGTCTCTGCGGACAATCACGGTACGAGGAGGTAACCCAAGATCGTCAGCGCGTTCGAGCTGTAAACATCTACTCAGTCACCATCCGAACATCTAGGAATGGCAAGTACTTTGGTCCTACGCAGCATCATGCGGTCCAACAATATCTTGAGCTTCTTGAAGGCTGGTTTCCCTGATCCTTCCATTCCATACTTTTGGATTGGCGTCAAGATTTCGCTGTTCCAGAAACAAGTCTTATGAAGATTCCCGTGAGCAGACCATCGTCAAGCATGGTATACACCTACATGTTGCATCGGGCTATGTCCGCAATCTGTGGACACATTAGTAGTTCAAAAAGAGGAAGCGCTAAGTAGACATTACCATCGCAAGTACACCTGTCCTTGAATCGCCAGTGCAGTGATTTACAAGGGCATCGTTTACCTGGCAAAGAACCGTGAGGCTGACAGATCCGGGACACGCAGGAACCTTACAGAAATAGTAGGAGAATGGATCACCGCCCAAGAATCGAACTAGACTATACAATTCTCCAACGCGATTCTGGAGTGGCGTTCCGGAGAGACACCAGCGGTAATTACCCTGTAGCTTAAACGTGGCTTTCGCTGTATTTGTTGCGCGCTCTTTGATATTGTGTGCTTCGTCCAGCTACAAAATTATTCGTTTCGTGACAGTTGAGGCATAAGACAAAATTAAGCCACTCACGATAATTCGGTTCCACTGTATTTGATGCACCGGTGACTTTTCAGTTACGAGCATTTTGCGGTCACCCTTCTTACGCTCGAAACCTTTCTCTTGCTTTCGGAAAGAGCTAGGACACGAATTCAACGACCAAATATTTAGAGCAGAATTGAAGGGGGGACAGACCTCTCCAGGACGGCGTAGGTACTTAAAACCTGCATAGTGGTTAAGAGCGTGACTAGTCACGAACATATACGCATAACTTACTACATCATACTTCTTGAGCTCTTTCACATCGGATTCTCGAGACTGGCCGTGCCAAATGAGAACTTTCATGCCATCAGTATGAGCTTCGATTTCATTCTTCCACTGCATGATAGCAACAGTCGGGCTATCGAGAGAACTTATAAGCATGTCAAGCTACAATGTCACCAGATGGACATACGCGATGACAAGGTTTGGCTTCTTTTTATCAGAAACAAGAAGGGCGATGATTTGGATGGTCTTTCCCATCCCCATTTCGTCCTAGATACGAATGTCATGAGCCGCGTAGCCTGCGAGGAGCAACAATAGACGTACGGCAAGCATGCCACCATGCCATACACCCTGTTCTTGCTGTTTCATCCAATACAGGCTCTCCCGCTGGAATGGTAGTAGCGTGAGCTTGATATTCGCAGGCTGGTCAGCTTTAATGGGCACGACAACGGGTATGGATTCTTCCAAATCTCCCCAGACATTGCGAAGTTCTTCATGATGGAAATGCAGGGCGATAGTCGACCTTTCTTCCTGCGATGAAGATCAGAGGTGAGTAGGAAGAGCAGAGGCAATACTGACAGAGGTAAGCTTCCTACCCAACCGTTTCCGCATGGCCTTTTCTTCCATTCGCACCCTGGTCTTGTGGGCCCTTTCGGCTTTCCCCTCTTCGCGGAGCCTTTGCAGTTCTGCGAAGGTCAAAGCTTTGGGAGGGTCCGCAGAAGCCTTGGCTTTGCTTTTGACTTTGACTTTGACTTTGCCTTTGCCTTTGCCTTTGCCTTTGCCTCTCCGAGAGAGTGGTTCGTCATCAGACTCGGAAGAAAGCTGGCTAGGGGAATTCATGACTGAGTCATCGACATCGATACTCCTGCTTGCACGAGTAACTCGGCGTTCAGCAGCAGCAGCAGCAGCAGCAGCAGTAGCACGACGAAGAACAGCAGGTGACGGTGACGCGGAAGAGGACTCCCCTGCGTCTTTCCGATTTGAAGTAAGTGAGTTATGGACGGCAAGCCGAAACATGAGTGCTTCTTCATCCTCAGAATCGGAATCTATGTCGCTGCTGGCCTCGTCAACAGGGCCTGCAGAGCCTTCAAACGCTGATTCGTCATCTGAAGCAACGAACTCAGATCCGCTGGTATCGGACTCATCAAGAGATTGGTCTTCATCGTATTCTAAAGCGTTGTCTTCATCGTCGCTGACGGCTGTCGCTTTCGGTCGCACGGGGGCCTTGCCCTTGTTCTTCCGTGATTGCTCGACCTGACAGAAGTCAGCACACAGACCATGATGACAGATGAAGTGAAACTTACAACAGCTTTCTCCTTTGCATCTTCTGCCCGTGATAGAATTTCGACGTAGACACAATTTCCTCCCACCGCACGGCGTTTGGGTGCCTGTTTGCCTCCGCGCCTTGGTTTCTCGCTTGTTTCACTGTCTAGGTCTTCACTTTCAGCCTTACGCTTCGATAACGCTCTTGAAGATCTTGCTATGGTCGTGGTGACCTTGATTTCCTCCTCCTGATCCTCGTCAGAGGTTGGAGGACTGTCCGCCAAGGAGGTCCTTGCACTAAAACTGGGGGAAGGATTTGTGGTGGTCGGCATGGAAGAAGCTGCCTCTTGCTGGCGCACCGACTGCCGAGTAACACGGGCCATGTCGATGTCTCTCAGATGAGCTGAGAACAAGGGTGGTGGATTGCAATTTTCACCTTCCGACCGTCACGCCAACCTTATTTATTGAGTGACCTGTAATCACGTGATACGTCACGTCGTGGCGAAGTCACGGGATTGGCGGGCCCTACTCATTCAATAATAGAGTCCGGAGATGCAGTGTATTATACAGTATACATGGTACACGAAGCAAAAAGTAGCGGCAGAGAAGCGAATAAAGAGCTGTACTTGTTATCATCGCCTGAAAAAAATATACGAAACAATCAGTACACACCTTAAAATCGATGTCCAGAATGATGACTTTGAACGGTGTGTGTGTGAGGCTGAGCCGTCTGTGCGTGATGCACATAGCCATGGCTATGATGGTATAAATACCCCGAATGGCTTACGGGCACATTATGATGATGTGAATGTTGACCAGCGTATGAATGTGCGCTGTGATGCAGCGGTGTTGACGGCTGTGAAGGTCCCCCCGAATTCGAAAAAGAAGAGAGTGGACTCTGCTGTTGCTGCACGGCACTAGCCATCTGCTGAGCCGCCTGCTGTTGATGTTGGGATATACTCATGATGTCCTGCCGCATATTCACGTTCGCGTCTTGATAGTTCACCTGGGCCTGTTGGGTGATGACTTGTAGCTGCGCTTGATAGTCGACAGCGGGGGGCGCCGAGGGCGGATAGCTTTGATTTTGGAGATTCGCAAGCTCGTTAATGATTGACTGATAATCGACGCCAGGTGCCTGCTGAGATGCTTGTTGAGTGATAGCATCAATGATGGATTGGTAGTCGACTCGTGATTGACCCTGCATAACGTTCTGGAGCTGGGAAATATCAAACGCTCCAAGTGCATCTCCAAAGTTGAAACCTTGAAAAATGGTTGAGAGACCAGCCAGAGCGTCGCCACTCAGCCCTCCACTGGTAAGTGAATTCGAAGCAGCACTACCAACATATTTCAACGCAGCTGTTCCGGCAATTTTCTCAACGTCAGTCAATAGCGATCTATTCCTGGTATCTGAAACCGTTGCAGCAGGGGGTGGCAGAGATGAAGTGCGTTGAAAGGAACCCGCTGTTGACAGAGGAGCGGAGGGAAGGTGGGAAGGCTGAAGTTGAGTCTCCGGTGGGGCCTGTGAGAACCGAGTTATCGTTGACGGTGACGAATGGGGCGGGAAAGGAACCGGAAAACTGGCGTTCACGGTCGACATTGGTGATAAAGGAAGGTGAGGCACATTGGAATGTGCCGAACCAGGTGTAGTTGAGTAATGTGTAGTTGGAGGTCGAGAGGGTACTGTGGGAGGTGAAGGTACATGATGAGGAGGAGGCGGTGATGGTGGCGGTATGCTAGCCGCTGCTGTTCGGTAATGTGGAATAGGTGGTCGCAACGGCGTCAGAGCAGGCGACGAAGTGTTATGCTGGGGAGGATTTGATGAAGCTGCAGTAGCATTTGACGTCGGATAACTTTTGTTCTGTGCATTACTGGATACTGGCCGACGCGCAACGAGAGATACCGTAGGAACGTCTGTCGGACCCACAGAGGTGTTGGAAGGAGCTGAATACGTTGATGCGCGGTGACGGAAGTTTTCCGAAATCCGCGGTGGAGCAGGCGGAGTCTGATATGTTTGTGTTCTGTGAGGCGCGGAACTACATGTGTCGTCCGAATCAGAGCTGTTCAAGACGGTCGCGTTTCGAAAGTGAACAACTGTGCTCGGACGAGATGATGTCGACTCGGCAGGGTCTTGAGAGATTGGTTGCTGATCACTATATTTCAGAGGAAGCGCGCTGGCATATAACCGCTGAGCTTTGCTCAAAGGCTTCTGGGAGGGAGAAGCCACGGCCATGGCACCGGCAGGAGGCGAAGGACCTAGTGCGGATCTATTTAGCGATTGATACGAATCTTCATCGTCTCCCTGGATATCAAACCTGTAAAACATAGGAGTTGACCTTAGTTAGCCCCCGCAAAATACTACGCCTCAGACGTTACCAGACGTTTCCCCTTGACAGAGACATAAGGAGGCAAATTCCAGGAGGAAGATGCAGTTGTACTCACTGTTCGTCATAATGGGGAATCCAACCTGGCGGCAGTGGCCTACCATTCAGGCCATCCGGTGTGCTCATCGTCTATACTGTATAGACACGAGGAAAACAAGAGAAAGGTAGGCATCAAGCAGCCACTCATCTTCATGGTCTTTATACCATGTCCATGAGGGGCGAACTGTCAATTTGAAGCTGGCTCTAGTTGGAAGTTTGAAACGCGAAAGAGGAGTGCCTGGATGCACTGCCACTGCGAGCATGAACGCGTCTCGTAATTAATATGGTCTTACGCATCCGACGATGTAGCGGGATAGACCCTTTTCAAATAGGCAGTAGTTGAATTACAATGAGATACATACATTCAATCAATTAACCCTCCATCATCTCTTCAGGTGGTGCACCTTGTCCTTGTTCTCTATCTTTCCGCACAGCTTGCACCACATCATCTACACGGAGCAGCATACGAGCAGCCTGTTAAAATAGTTAGTATAGGAATAGGACATGTATATTCATTTCCTTACCTCAATTGCTGTCTTCAAAGTCTGAATCTGTTCAAAACATCAGCATCGCAATTCCGTTGTAGAAAAGGCCCTACCTTGACGCTTGCTGACTCATACAACCCGTAGACCTTCATATCAACCAACTTGCCTGTATCACCGTTGACGCCCCAGAAGTTTTCACCACCCGCATGCTTAGCCTATAACAAGATACCATCAGAAATAATCCAGCCAGAACCTGAAATAGTACCCTCAGTTCAGTCAAGACTCGGATGGCGTTTCCTCCACTGTTCTGAACCAATGTCCGAGGAATAACTTCCATAGCATCAGCCACAGCCCTGAACGGCCACCCCTCCACACCCACGACGCTTCTTGCCTTAGCATGCAAACCAACGCTGATCGCCATCTCCGTTGCACCACCACCTGGAGCGAGAAGAGGGTTGAACACGACGTTCCGCGCAACTGACATGGCGTCAGCGAGGTTCCGGTCGATCTCGTTGAGAATATCCTTTGATGGACCACGAAGAAGTATCGTGCAAGCTTTAGGATTGTTACACTCCGTCAAAAAAGTGAAGTATCTTGGAAAAGAAAAGAAATTTAGGAACAATTAAATAAGATGGATACGTACTCATCACCAATCTTCTCGATGTTGAAAAGACCACAGCGAGTGCCGACATCGGACTCCCGTAGATCCTCTGCTCGGTTGACGATCGTTGCACCAACAGCGAGAGCAATACGATTATTGTCTGATTTTCTTACCCTGCGAATCGCAGAGACGTTATGCTTCGTAAAGAAGTGCTGGGCGATGTCTAGCGTAACCGAAGTGAGTACGTGCATTGGAAATAAAGAAAATCCGGTGCACCTGAGACGCCCTTTTCTGTGATCACCAGATCCGGCTTAAATTCCAGAATTTTGTCGCACAGAAGCCGTATCTGCTCTTCTTCAATAGCCTGCGCCTTCTCCCAATCCTCGACTTTAGAAAACTCCATGTTGGTTTGACTCTCGCCTTTCTTGTACTCCAGCGGACAATCGAGAAGTATAATTCGAGGATTGACGATACGTCTTCGCATATTGGGATGCGTAATGTCCTTGTTCAGCATAACACCACTCAACACTTTGCTCTGCTCTATCTCGCCGCCAGGGACCTTCTCCACTCGTGCATAACGCTTGATGTCCACTGTCTTCAAGCCATTTTCCTCCTGAGCAACCGTCCGTACGGCCTGCAGGGCTAGTTTGCACATAAGATCAGACCAGCGCATGACGAACTTAGTGCCTATGGATGTTTTGATGAGTGCTAGCATTTCTTCATCATTGGACGTGTCGATGGGGACCGATATTCGCTTGATGATTTCGAGCGCCTCTTTGAGGGCCTTATTGTATGCCGAGATGATGACAACTGGATGGATGTCGCGTTCTAGTTGCCCAAGGGATTGTGCAAGAATTTCCCCGGCTTGTAGATATCAGGAAAAACCAGAAAGGTGTAGCGCAATGGGACACACACCAAGGATGATGACACTCGTCGTTCCGTCTCCACATTCTTCATCCTGGGTACGACTCAGCTCAATCATATTTTTTGCAGCTGGATGAGCGACATCAATTTCACGAAGAATTGCATTGCCATCATTTGTCAGTCTGTGGATAGTTTCGTCAATAATAAAATGGAACGAAAAGCAAAGAAGACAGACAATATGCCTCCCATAGGATCCAAGATCATTTTAAGCATAGCTTTTGGGCCAAGACACGTCCGGATAACATCTGCAACAGTCTTTAAAGAAAATGAGAAGCTATTGCACCATAATATAGAGGTCGTGTACAAACCTTGGCAGCAGTGATATTTGAGATCTGGGCTTTTCGTCCTGACTGCCGTTCAGGCGCAGTATCTTAAGAACCAGGTCAGAACAGCAGAGCACGGGAAGAAGGTAAAGCTCACTCATCACAAAAACAGGTGTTTGCCCAGACATCTTGTAGTATTAGTGTCTGGAAGAGAATCGAGAAATTTCCCAGTTCAAGGTTGTCGAAGTACGCGTTAAGGGTATTGATGACTAATACGGAAAAATAAATAAATTGGATTTATGAACCCTTTTTGTTACGAACATAATTCCCTACGTGTGAAGCATCGTTGTACAAGCAGACTCATCCTGTGGCGCTCATTCAGTGGATATATGAACTGATGGCAACACCCAAGAGTGCAAAGGACGTTGGGATTCTTGTGTTGCGATGTCTCGACGATAGGTTTGGATTCACTTGCTCTACGCCTCGAAGATAAGTTCGTAATCTTCTCCATGGGACACTCTCTTAGAGTTCCAGGGAATAGGCCACGATGAATGCTACTCGTATATGTAGAATTGCACCGGTCCGTTCAACGGTCGGCAGTAGTGGCCTATTATAGCAGTGATGACGACGGAGCTGCCCCAAAGAAGCCCAATGGACGTCTACGGGCAACAATCATGGTAGCCACATACTAGGTATGTATGGTGATGTAAGTGTCATGGCAAATCCCACGATGACCTGCCTGTATCGTAGAAGCATCGTTGGAATGTAAAGCAGCATCCAGGTCGAATTCCTTCAACCTAAATCACGTTGGTGTTCGTCGGTGTTTCATGGAGCAGCGGCTCAATATTACTGCAGCTGCCATTCGGTGATTTGACTCATTGTTGCTCCTTGGTATGACAACTTGATACATGGCCATTTTACAGCAACTTTCCACGTAAGTCTGCGAAGATAATGTCTGCGATGTCGGCTTTCATCGAAGTGAATCAAATATTAACAGTTTGCCGAGTTCTGCATCACTCTGTGACGAAGTCATGATATCACGTATCATCAATTCCGGGATTGGTCGCCCATCTTTTGCATGGTCGTAGGCTTACTTGCTTCTCCTGGATATAATTGCACAGAGAGGCACGTGTGCGTCGTTACGGAGAGCAACATTTTATGCTCACCTCTGAAGGTACACCACACCATCTTGACATTGGCGCAGACGGAGGTTCAGTTCCCACTTACAAACATTTACCTTAAGTACTGACCACGTCGCTGATCAGACCGGCTATGTCCTCGGGCATTTCAATCACTGACAGTATACCTCCCCCCGGTATTGATGATTGAGCCCGTGTACAGTTCCGCGTAAAACATTTTACCTCGTTCGACCCCAAACTTGTGTTCTACTATTCTCTGATGCGTTTCAATAAAAGATCAACAACGAATTTACATACGACCGCTGCATGTAAAACTACGGGGATTGGCCTAGCTTTAGTCCAGGTGACAGACCGCTGGAGTATGTATCCTTATTCTGTTCAAACACACTGGAGCCATAGGCAGTCTGAACACTGAACCTCTCATCCCTAAGAAACCAGCATGCTTGTCATATGATGAAATAATGGGAACGACTGGGGTGACTGTCTTACCAAGCTACCCCAAGCCATAGGTAAGACTACATCGCTATATCATGACGCCCCTTCCCCAGCAAAATCAAAGCCTAAGGGTGTCGGTGAAATGATAAATATAGCATTTTGATGTCTCTTCCGTCGAATGAATGTGGGTCATCGCGGCGCTGTCTATGGAAAATGGTTTCAATTCGGCAAAATATGGAGTACGAAACAGCAAGAGTAGCAACATGCGCGGGACGCTGCTAATTACTAGGAACACCAATGTCCCAAGCGGTGACCGGTGCCGTGTTGCAATCAAATCTTTCGGAAAGCCGCCCGATCACAATTACGAGACGCTACGTCCCTGCATAGTATAAAACCATGTCTTCGCCCTACCTCGAGTTTGCGTCCCCCAAAAACGATGTCTACGCCAGTTAAGACCTACCCGTCGCTTTCGCGCTCTGTACCAATCTTCTCTCACTCGATATTCACCCATCTTTTGACTCAAGATGGCGAACTCATTGGAGGACATGCTCCAGAGCTACCCGCGTTCACTGATGCGCCCTCGGGAACGACCATAAATCGTAGGCAGCTGAGAGACTTCAGTCTCGCCCTTGGGCATGGTCTCAAGAATCTAGGCGCGAAGCGCGGAGATACAGTCCTCGTGTTCTCACCCAACTCGCTCAATTATCCCGTCATTCTTCTCGGAGGTGCGCCGTAATCCGACATATTCTTCCAAGGTTCTGTCGTTGACGTATACCATAGCTATTTCCGCCGGCCTTCGCTGCACCCTCGCGAATAACGCGTATACGAGCCATGAACTTGTTCATCAATACACTGACAGCGGTGCCCACTTCGTTTTCTCGACAGAAGATGGCATTCCGACTGTTCGCGCCATGTTCAAGGAGATCGGTGTTGGTGAAGAGGGCGAGAAGCGGATCATCGTGCTCAGCAACAGCTTGGCCTGGGCTGGGGGCCCGGACGTCGCTAGTACGCCCGAATCCACAGGACTTCCGCGCATGGAGGACCTTCTTTCCGGTGGCTCTTTGGAGGAGGAGGAGAAATTTAATGGGGATCTCGCCCACGAAACCGCGTTCCTATGTTACAGCTCCGTGAGTGCTGCTCAGGCTAGATTTTTGGGGATCTATTCCTACTAATTCTGGTATCCATGCAGGGGACCACAGGGAAGCCCAAGGTAACTATACCACTGTTGCGGTTCGTATATCGTAGTGCTGATGACCATCAACGTAACCCTTCAAGGGTGTAGAGGTTAGTATATCAAAATAGCCTCTCCATTCAAATAACTCACACGTTGAATCTAGACAACACACCAGAATCTCACCTCCGTCGTTGACATCGTCAACGAATCATACCCTCATGAAATCGGGGGTTCGATGCTCGGTTTCCTCCCTTTCTATCATATCTATGGTGCGTTTTCTATCCTTCGTGATTGTATCCGTCTCAGACCTCCCCAGGCTCTGTTATGCTTCTTTTCCTGAATATCAAAATGGGTGATCCATGCTACATCATGCCTCGTTTCGACCCCGTGCAGTTCTGCAACAATATCCAGAAGTATAAGATCCCTGTTGTGCTTGTGGTTCCACCAGTACTCGTCTTCCTTTCTCGACACCCTGGTATGCTTCAGTCTCTCATCTCGACAACCCATCTGACGGCCCTTTTCAGTGGTGCAAAAATTTGATTTCTCATCCCTCAAACTTCTAATTTCTGGAGCAGCGCCGTTAGGTCCTGACTTGACGAAACAGGTGTGTGCATGTCTTTGATTTCATTCAAAGTAATTTGATTAAGTTTTCTGAAAGGTCACTGACCGCTTCCGTTCTATGGACGTCGATGTTGCTGTTGTGCAAGGTTTCGGTATGACAGAATCCTCGCCTACGACACACCTACTCCCTATGGCCGACGCTGCGATGAAGCCTGGTAGCATTGGTGTTCTGCTCTCTAACTTGGAAGCACGTTTGGTGGATGAAGGTGTAGATGCTGAGGAGGGCAAGCCTGGTGAGCTCTGGATTAAGGGACCTACCATCATGAAGGTACGTTGCTGTGTAGTCTCATTCGTCTATTCCCCTGTTGATCATTCGCATGTAGGGATATCTTAATAACGAAGCCGCGACGAGGCACACTATAACGGAGGATGGATGGTTCAAGACCGGAGACGTTGCAATTAGGGACAAGGATGGACACTTCTTCATCGTCGACAGGGTGAAGGAGCTGATCAAGTACAAGGGCTTCCAAGGTAAATCACTGATACATTCTTTCCTTCATGTTATTCAAGCGGTTTCTTATCAGTACCTCCTGCCGAGCTGGAAAGCGTTCTGCTGGGCCACCCTGAAGTTGCAGATGCTGCTGTCATCGGCGTGTTCGACCATCAGGAGGCCACCGAGCTCCCCAGGGCTTACGTTGTCCATGCACAACCCCATAAAGTGACGACTGAGGAGCTCAAACTTGCGTTTGGTCAAGAGGTGGCAAAGTCTATTGAATCAAAGGTTGCAAGGCACAAATTCTTGCGTGGAGGTGTTGTGGTCATCGATGCCGTTCCCAAAAGGTGAGTTCTAGCGGTCTAAAGTATCTGATATCCTTGCTGATGGATTAATCTTCCAGTGCTGCGGGAAAGATCCTCCGACGGGAGTTGCGCGAGCGGGCCAAGGTGGAACTGGCGAACGGGATTGGGGCTACGAGCGCTGTCGCACCCTGTTAAGGTGTATGAACTATTTGGTATTTAAGGCAGTCATTTTGTTTCTTGTAACTGTATGCATAAACTCAAGCACTTGTAGTACCCGCGATAGAACAACAGGTAAAGACAATAATACAACCAGACTGACATGTTTGGGGTGAATTTTGATGTCAAATGTTAGACACTGGGTTCTATTCAACTGTGTACAGGATTGAATGAACAACGGCACAGTGCTACGGAGATATTGAGCCGGAGAACTCGTACGAGAGGGTTAAGCATCAAAGGAGTTAGTGAGTTGCCCGTAAAATCAGCAGTCTGATCTGTGTGGCTTCAGGAACAGTGACCTTCATTGAGTTAGAAGGATGGATACTAATTATGATTAACCTAGCTCCACCCTTCCCTTGACTTCTAAGACACTTCATTACTTACTTATTTAAACCACCGTCATTCGTACCTGGGAATGCCTTGCGCTGACCAGCTGCAGGTCATATGCTTCGAAAACAACTACCTGCTGAGTAGAGGCGCCAACGGTTTTCCCATAGAACTATCTTACTACTGGGGTGTACTCCCGCAAGCTTCAAGACGAGTGTCAGGCAATATATGTATCAGTTCTTGAATCAGTCAGTAGGCGTGCCCTGAACCGATGTAATGAACGACGGCATATGTAATTTCAGCGTCACGTAATCTACTGTCTAGTAGTCACGCGAAGCTGGAAAAGCGGTTAGGGAGGTAAGTCAAGGTACACACGACTTGATATTCATCACAGAACCAACATTCCGTAGTTTGCTGATTTTAGAAGCAGGTACTTATGGATGATGGTCAGCGACCAGACTACCCTGTATATAGTATAATATACATCTCGAAACCTAGGGGGACTAATCAATTGTCCAAATGTAACCGTACCGTATAAACAGACTCTTGGATAAGTTACCACTAAGGGGACAGAAATTAGTCGGGGGTCCGTCGAATGTTTTCTCCCAACCAAAACCAACGCGCCAAAGGGGAAATCCGAAATAGTTCCACATTAGGTAAGGCCGCCCTGGAGGCGGACTAGGTTTACTCACCAGTCCCTTATTATTGTAGATAATTTTTAGATTTAAGGCTAGGCGTTCTACTATTTCGGCACCGTTCTATCTTTCAACAATCCATTTTTGATCTAGAACTTTGAAATGAGTGCTTCACGTTGGAATTCAAAAATAGTCTGGAGGTTGGGACTCGCTATAAATGCGGCGACGACTCACCAACTATCCATACAACTCAAGAGTGCCATTAACCCTCATACGACACACTAGAAATGTATCCCCGTGCCTTCATCGTCTTGTATGCTCTTGCGGCTGCCACCAGCACAATTCCAGCGTTGAGCTCGGCCATAGTTGTCGGAAGCATCTGTACCACTGGTACACTAGAGTGTTGCCAATACGTCGAGTCTGTCAGTCGCTCACTTGCAGTCCTCTGATCTTTTGATAACAATGACCTTTCAGCCTCTGGACCAGCCAGCTCAGACCGACCTCCAAACACTTGGAATTTCTGTTACGAGTACAGCCGCTGACATGTATGTGCCTCACCGTTCGGAAGTCCCTTGTTGACTCGTACCTCAAAGCGGCATCAACTGTACCCCCGTGGCGACCCTCGGCGGCGCTGGGAGCTTCGTGTGTGCTGACGTGCTCGCCTGCTGCACCGGTGAGAGCTACTACGTAAGTACCACCATACATGTCTAGCAGCACCGTGGGTATTGAAACTGTAGATAGAATGGCCTCATCGTCTTAGGGTGTACTCCCGTCAGCTTGGTTGCTCAGTGAAACTGTGGTACTACCATGGCATGAAAAGATTCGAATTTGTCTATTCCTGTGCATTCGCTACCTTTGTATTTTCCTGTATGAGTAGCGAAGATATAAATCTGAAAATGAATTTGTTTTCCGCCATAGCGCTGACCACAAATGGTTGTCGCAGCATGTACCTAAAGCTTCAAGTAACAATAAGATGTTGAACATTGAATCGGCAAATGGTCTTCGATGTCCATTTCACAGATATATCGCCAGGATTGGCGATGTTTTGGCCCAGGAATAGGATAAGTACACCCGCAAATAAACGATGGGATAAACGATCTGTCCACAGAATGGAAGGGCTCCCTAGGTTTCACAAGCTCCGGGCCATATTTCCACCGGGTTCTTAAACAGTGGACTCCAAGAGCTCGAAACCACTGTATTCGTTCCTTGTGACCACACAAACATCTGGATAGAAAACTCACCAGACATATACGATGTTCCTAAACGTGTTCTGAAGCAACTTTGTGTGGAACGCCCGGCAATACAACCTACCGTCAAGTGGTAAACATCTAGACAGCGGCGTTGTTTCAGAGAGCTTGAGGTACAAGAGAATATAGTTAAGGGGTCTACACCAAGCAAGTCATGAGATGGAGACTAGCCTGTTCGTTGCTCTTACGGTGCATCATTCCGACATCAGTCCTGGCTTGAAGGATACGTATGATCTGCCTTATTTTCTCCGTAAACGAGATATCTATCTCCGTACCATGTTCCAAGTAACTATGTAATCCTCGTGAGGTAGAGGATAGAACCAAAACAACATATGGAAAATTCTTGCACTGACTGATAAACGAGTCAGTATTGGGCTTGTATATTGGCTAAAAGCATTGTGCCTCGGGCAGAGTACGTACCGGATTGAACAAGGGCACCACAAAGGTTCGGGTGCCTAGGAAATTCTGAAAAGCCAGGCTGTATAAATTTCGCCATCGTGCTGTCCTTCAAATGTCTGCTAGTCGATGTTGTTGATTAGGAATGCCTGTCGGAATGAATCCTTAAAAAGGTCCCTACTCGAATTTTAGGCGGAGGTCACTTGAGAGTTTAGAAATATAAATGAGATAGAAACACAAGAAAAGCTCACCCGGCTTGCAGAAGAATCCTGAGTACAGCTAAAGCAATGTTTCCTCGTTCATCCATCTTCATCTGCGCTCTTGCAGCTGTAAACACCCTTGCGGCCACACGAAGCTCTGCGATAGCTGCCAGGGACAGCTGTAGTGTTGGTTCGCTCCAATGCTGTACATACGTCCAGACTGTGCGTCGTTCATCCACACTTGCAAGAAAAGATAATGACCACGATGAGTTTTTAGCCTCAGGAGGAACCAGCCCAGACCCTCATCGCTTTGCTTGGAATTCCAACTGCTGGACTAACTGGCGATGTGTACGTTTATCTTTTGAGGCAATAATGAAAACTGATGGGTACTACAAGCGGTATCACTTGTGATCCTGTAACGGTCATCGGTCCTGGGACTTTTCAGTGCAATAAGCAACTCGCCTGCTGCACGGGAACAAACTATGTGAGTGTCAACACGAATTCTGAAGAATTCCAGAGGGCTAAATTGACGCAGAATGGTATTGTTGTCCTGGGCTGTACTCCCATCACGTTAAGCCTTTAGGTAAATGAATGGATCGCGGATTGAAACGGAAAACAATGTCCTGTAATTTCATATATGAGCTATATAAATCGGATTCGTGCACTAAATATCTGCCTTTGGACCTGGATCCGTGACTAAGGTTCATTGATCACTGCGACTACTGCGGCACTCACAATTTGGCACTCAGGAGTACTGTATGGCTTTTTGTATTTTGCTTTCTCTCTCTTCTAGATGTCCCGGGCTTATAGGGTATATGCCTTCTGCGCCATTGCTTTCATTCTCATCCTCTACTTTGCCAAATGGTCTCGTCTCACCTCCGATCCAAATTCCTTGGTTTGCTCATCGCGGCCTCTGACGCTGATGGCTCTTCCACCTCAGTCTGAGCCTATTGTTATTACCCTCGTTCTTATGGGAGAAGGCGTCGCACATGAAGGAAGCGTCTCGATAAAGTCTGCCATCATGCACACAAGTCGGCCACTGCACTTTCATCTCATATGCACCGAAGATAATATCCCGTACCTTGAGAAAAAGTTTGCTTTGTTCACACGACCAGTTTATGATATACAGGTTAGTACCTAAACTTAGTTTTTATGACATGTACTAATGTAATCGCCTACTGTTCAGGTAACATATTACCCATTAACTGCCGAACGTGTGCGCGAACGAGGCCATCGTGCTGGCATAGGAGAGAACTGGAATGTCCTCACCAAAGTATTTATACATGAACTGCTCGTAGACGTTGACAAAACAATATTCATTGATACCGACATGATATTCCTCGTTGATCCTCTCGAGCTCGTACGTATGTTCAATCCTCTGCCATTATCTAAATTCATTGCCCTTTCTAGTGGAACGACTTCAAGCATTTCGAGAGACGCACTCTCATGTCATTCCCTACCCTAGGTCCCACCTCTCATCCGGGCCAGATCTGCAGCTGTATCATGCTCATGAACTTTGCCCTCATGCGTAATCCATCCGCTATGCTTATGCCTTCAAGCCTCCTCCCAGAAACAGAGAAAACCTCTTTGGCCTCCATGCCGTTCGCCCGAGGAATAAGTGAGGGGATACCCAGTCCCATGGCAGATGAAACCGTCCCTTTTGATCCCTACAATCCATTCTTCGCCGACCAGGGTATATTTCACGTCATCTGGTATTACAGACCGATGATGTTCAGACACCTATCAATGCGATGGGATGTCAGTATCTGTCGGCAGCAGCTAGGCCTAACTTTAGGCCATTTTGGAGAAGATATTGAAGAGGATATGACGGAAGAGGAGCATATCAGACGGCAAGTCAGGCTGGACGGGAGTGGGGAAGAACACACACTCATGAGCCCCGGCGTCTTGCACTTGTATGATGTCCTCATCTACTACTCAGATATAGTCTAACGCTAGCTGTCAGTAACTGCCAAGGCGATAGGGACGATATCTGGCTTTGGGAGGATAATCATAACCCAAGTGCCAAGTTTGGTCCTATCATAACGACCACTTTACGATACAAGTAAGCGCCGCCGATCCTTTCATTCGTCCTAGTCGCTGACTTTCGTAACTGTAGATGGGTGTGGCTTAACAGGGGAGATGGTTCTGCCAAGGTACAAACACGAACAGCCTCTGATAGCAGATGGTGGGACGAGCGGTTGGTACAGGCCCACGCTGGACGGTAACAAGGCGCCGTAAAAGCCAGGTTGCAATGGTGATGGTGCTATGTATTTGCTCTATCTTCAAATGCTTCCGATGGTCTTCTACGCGTCAGAAAATTTTCACAGGACCATCCGAGAGCTTGTGCATTGAAGACCGGTTTCTCAGAGACCCATCTTCAAGTCTCCAAGCCAGTTGTAATAGTAGCCAGTACTTCGATGCACGCTCATATTCTAGGCGTAAACCATGGTGGAAATTACTTGGTACTTGGGGACTAAGCGGCAACCATAACATCGAGACAACAGCAAGAATCTGGGGCGATTAAATCCGAGATAGGTACCGAGAAACTTTGCTTCAATGAAATCCCGCTTTCAATTCGGTGAAAAAACAGCGACGGTCAGAACCAAGATTAGCGCGTGGAAGACAATTACTTATAATCTACAGGAGACAAATCAAAGCCAAGTAGAGTTTCTGGGCACAAAGAGAAAGAATCAGCAATGAAGAAAGTCATAAGGGAGCATTGAAACCCACCGAATTGTCTGTCGGCTTTACCATAATAGGGAAACCCGACGGACTTTGATACAAACGCCTGAATCGAAGCGTTATTCAATCGTTCTCCTGACCGTTTGATCGTGAATCAGTAACCTGTAGGAGTGTTATCCTTGTTCCCAGTCGGTCAAGTTTGGTTTTCGTAACTCGTCCCGATGGACCGATGGAGAAGATCCGGTTCTTGGTCATGCTAGTTGTACGGGCCTCAAACAGTTTTATCTGTGCTCCACGCATTTTCCGACAGTTTTTACCCAAGACAAAATTGCCACTATACACACGAGCAAGAAAGTTGTCGCGCACAATGCAAGGAAAAAAGCGATATCATAGCAACTTTCGGAGATTCGCCATGCATAACGCGTCCCTACGGAGATGTCAGCATGACCAAGAACTGACTGGAGATTTCCTCCGTTATAGGCGTAAAGTTGTGAAATTGCAGGTTTGACGATAACGCAATCTTCTAAGAAAGTGTTATGCGCAACCATAGAGTCGAGATGCCAAGTCGTGGAGCAAACTCCCTCGGCGAAACTCGAGCGAGGGTCGGGAAAAAGGCATTGATAAGTATCGGTCTGTGGTGAGAAGACCTTCCATTAACGTCTTTCTGTGTAAATGAAGTAGAGCATGTTACCAAGAACGGGAGATGCCTAGGTCACCCGGGGGGTAAGCTTCATACAAATATCGATTGCAAGTGTATACAAACAATACAAATGGTCATAGTTACAATTGGAATCAAGGAAAGAAAGAAGCACGAAGCAGTTAGGAAACGTTTTCACCAATCACCGCCATCGAGGTCCGCGCCATCTTGTAAACCGTCTTGATATGCATCCATTTCGTTGTCGTTGATAGCATCTGCGAGCAAAGCTCCACCGAGTAGACCACCGGCGCCTAAAAAAGAATGAGGGATCAAAGCAGGTGACAGGACGGCAGCGATACGCACCGATAGCGAGAGCACCGCCCATGCCGATACCACCCGATTTCTTTGGCGGCTGTTGCTGGTAGACAGTTTGAGGAGGATAACCTTGATTGTTCTGCTTTCCGAAGAGACCACCAAGTAATCCTGTGGTACAGGAATTAGAGAACGTCAGATAAAGCTATAAAAGAATAGCAACCTTTGCTCCCCCCGCTCTGCTGTTGCTGGCCGTAACCATCCTGAGGGTATCCACCATACCCCTGCGGCTGTTGTGAATATCCACCGTAACTCTGTGGCTGCTGTTGGTAGCCGGGATTGTAGCCACCGTATTGCCCCTGGGGATTGCCGTAGCCGCCGTAACCCTGTTGCGGCTGGGGCTGGTTGTACCCACGATTATCAGGGGGCGGTGGTCCAGCTGGAGGGCCGTACTGGCTGGGCGGGAGACCGGCGGCCGGTAGTGGGCCTAGCGGGTGATTCCATGTAGTAACTGGCGGCTGCACCTGAGTATTCACGTAGAACCTGGGCCACAGTCAGAGTCATCGGCCAGAGATATTGAGAGTAATAGGCGCACCAAGTCTTGTAGCTGTGGACCGTGAATCTCATCGATCGTGATAAGCGAGGGCAATGAAACTTACTTGTTATCGTATTGAGAGATCCAGCCAGGCGGCAGCTGGCGGGTATCTGGGTTTACTTGGGGGTCGCTGCTGTACGATGGAGGCTGAGACATTCAAAGGAAATGTAAAAGGATGGTCGTGGTGCGGGGAAGAGCCTTATAAAGGGTCCGGCCTTGGTCCTGGCACTGCATTACAGTGCATCTCGTGATCTCACCGCAAGCGTAAAGGTTAGGTACAGCATAAGTAGGATACAACGCGCATCAGAAGATCATACATAGTCCAAAATAAGTACCTCTTACTACGCTCTCTTCTTCCTCGAGGTCGTCGCAGTCGATGCCGGCACGGAAGTCTTGGCCTTCTTCTCAGGTAGGCTCTCGTCTTCGTCAGAACTGTCGCTGGTGGATGATGATGATGATGATGCCTCCTCCTCCTCCTCTTCCTCTTCACTCGAATCGGATTCCGCAGTGGCTATCACGGGGACTGACTTTCTGGGCTTGGGCTTGGCTTTTTCCAGCTCGCGTTCCTTTTCTTTCTCTTTCTCTCTCTCCATTTCCATCTCCATCTTGCGCTCTTTCTCTCTCTCCTTTTCTTTTGCTTTCTCATCCTTCTTCGCTTTCTCATCCTTCGCCTTCTCGCCCTTCTTCGCTTTTTCCTTCACCTTGTCGGTAGTTTTTTCTTTTGGGGCACGGGTGGTGGTCTTGCTCTGTAATACGTCGTCAGAAGCCAAGTAAGTACGCGTGGAGAGAACTACACACCGTTGCCGCAGGCACCGAACCCTCTTCATCTTCCTCCTCGTCACCCTTGGGTAGTGCCTTGTATGCAGCCAGTTCTTCTTCGTACTTTTTGTTCAGCACTTCATGTTGATCACTATATATCTACAGTAGATGAAAATGAGAAACGGACTATCTGGGAGGCATCTACAATCAAACCTGTTTCTCTGCGGCCGTCATTTCTGACCACATTTTTGACATCAGAAGCGTGAGTTCTTGGTAGGTGACGTTTGGGTGTTCCTGTTTAGTTTTCTTCCGCATTTCGTTCTGGAACAACAAGTAGGACGAAGCGGGGCGTCGGGGAGCATTCGGGTCCTTTGCCTTCACGAGGCGCTTGCGCTTGCCATCGACGGCAGGCTCCTCTGCATCAGAGTGCTTCCGTTTTGCCTTGATAGGTTTCACATCCTCTTGGTGTCCATTTCCAGGAAATGCAGCCTTATACGATGTGAGATACGCCTCAGAAGTCTCGACGCAATGTCTCATCGACTTGACCAAGTCTTCGAGACCGCGTACCATCTGCACAGGCGTGTCAACAAGCAAACACGACGCGTCGATGAAGAAAACATACCAGAATACGGTCGTGTTCCAATGTTGAAGGAGCCATGGCAGATTCCGAGTCGCTGAGTCAACGATTTTCTGAACCTTGCTTAGCTTTGCTTAGCTTTTGAAACCTTGCTCAAAGGTTCGTTTATTAAGGTCTCACCATTTTTGTTAGGTTTTGTTTTTTGATCGGAGCTCCAATACGGAGATCTAAATAAATTGAAGCGCCGCCCCAATATATCTAGTCGCCCATTTGGCTCGCTGTTGGAGCCATTCGATACTCAAAAGGCGTCGCACGGACCAGCTACCACTGCGAAAAGACGTCAATAAGGCCGTTGTCGAGCAGACTGGCATCGTTGGTGGCGCGCAGAGTGGTCCTTTGTGCTTATTTTCCCCACTAAAGGCGTCGTAGTTGTCTTACCGTCCATAAGACTCGGTAAGAAAAAGGAAGAGAGAAAAAGTCGCGATGGACCCAAATTATTTCAGTCAATGGATTTCACCGCAGCAGCAGACCCAAATCTTGACCGAACCGTCGCAGCAGAGTCTTCATGAATCACGTCCGACCTCGTCCCTTGAGGATTGGTCCAAAGAACGCACGGCGTCGACAGGGACGTCGACGTCTACACCGACTGTGACGACGACGAGCACAGCGCCAACGACAGCAGCGCTGGATTTCGCCGATATCATGGGTGACATCGCCAGTGCGTACCGTCCGACATGCAAGCTGTTTCAACTAATCGTGACAACTCTTCTTCACACAGCCACAGGTTCATCTTCTGCACTTTCACCTCAGTCGACCGCCTTTTACCAGTCCTTCCAGAATTATTTCCAGGCCCCCTTCAATTCGATTCCTTATGGTGCGGCTTGGAATTCCCAGTCAACCGTCCCTCTGTCCAATTACTCCAGTCTCAATGGCGCAACGAGCGCAGGCCCCTCGTCTTCACCTACTTCCCAGCCAGCAACCCAGCCCCAACCCCAACCCCAGCCCCAGCATCAAGCGGCACCGCAACATTCACCTCCACTGCAAGCCCAGTCACCCCCCCAGCCGATGATCATCGAGTAAATCATCCAATCTTTCATTAACACATCATGGAGCTAACTCTCTTTTAGTCCGGCACTGACGACGCTGAATGGTGCAGCCACTAATGGCCTTCAACAGTACTCCCAGCCCTCTTCTTTTCAGCCTCAGCAATCACGCACTTCATACCCTTTCACGCATCTTTCATTATCACTCAGCAATTCTAATCCATATTTGTATTCACATTCGTATCCTCAGCAAATAGCCACAGCATCTGCACAAGGGACCCTTTCTCCTCAGGCCCTGCACTCTCCTTCCCAGTTAATGACGACCATCGTACCATCACAGTTCTACGGCAAACCCCAGCCATCAGGACCGCAGTCCGCTCCGCCGGCAGCACCCCCACCAGCACCTTCTCAGCCACCAGGTTCCACACCACAGGAACGCAAACAGCAATTCCTCACTTCGATCAGACCGCTTCTACAGGCCTCCGCGTTCACCGGAGCCCAGGCCGTCAATACTTTGGCATCTCGCATATCAGTTTACGGCCCCCAAGATGTCGACGCTGCCACCCGTCTCGAGATATTAACTAAGATCCGTGACGGCGCAGGTAATCACTATTTTCGGGCCTGGTCCGAAAATCCGACTGCAATGGACATCTCTCGAGAGTGGCTCAAGTCCGTGCTCGCAACAAAGGAAGATAGTACTTTGGTTGAGACGATCATGCCGCTTCTACATGTGAGTCCCACTTTTTGGCAGGCAGAGGAATGTACCATGTTTCTCATGGTTTCAAACAGATTGTCGATCGATTACCACTGAATATTGACGCCTTGAAAACGTACAAGTTGGGCAAGTTGATAGTAAAACTGTCGAAGGACCCACCTTCTCCGGGTGAGTTGTGTGTTTCTCTGCCTAATGCAAGTCGACGTGTGCCCGACATGCATATATTGCAGTTGGCATCCCTTTTAATAGTACTAGCAGTGCGGGTCCCGACGTGTTTGAATCATGAGATAAAATACATGTATCTAACTTGTTTCTTGTGTTCTATGCAACGCAGCGATCAAGGATATGGCTTCGAACATCGAACGAAGATGGCGTCAGATCGTTGAAGTCGCGAATGACACGAAAAGCGAGGGTGAGTCATGTCAGTTTGAAACGCTGAATATATATTAATGGTCGATTTATGTTGGTTTAGAACCGAAGACAAAGAAGCGGAAACTCGAAGCACCTGTTAGCAAACCTTCTGCTGCGCCCGTCAAAAAGCCCACTGTGACTTTGGCGCCTACAAAGACGGTGACGAAGAAGGTGACGGCGCCTGCGGCGAAAGACGCCAAGTCAGATTCATCTTTCTTCTCTGCACCGAAACCCAAACCGAAGCTGCCGACGTTCAAGAAGGCGCCTGTGGTGAAGAAGGAGCCTGATGCTAATGTCTCACAGCCTTTGTCTATCGATCCGTTCCAGGAGGCTCTCAAGTCGATGGCGAAGAGTCGGAAGGAGTCTCCCGCTCCTACGCCGACACCGCCGACGGCCACGACAAGTAGTCCTCCTCAAGCTGCTGTACCTGGCCCTAGCAGGCTTGGTAGAAAGAAGAAATCGGTGTCATGGGCTCCTGATAGCGACCTTGAGTCAATACGCTTCATAGAGAAGGCTGTCTATGATGACGATCCCGTAGATGTCAGCAACTCGCTTTTCAATCTTACTGTAAAATTAATATCCCCATTCTGCGGGTCTCTCTCTGGCTTGCTTTTTATTATAGGGTATGCATACTGCACACAGCGCGCGCGAATTGGAAAAGGGTGAGGGAGCTGCCCTTCATCAGCATGTCTTTGAAGAGACAATAGACTGGTCTGAACCTCAGTGTAAGCGTTAAAGACGTATTAGCTGCGCGTAGCACCTGACACAGAGCCTGAACAGTGATCGACATACCGATCGATATCGAAATACGGCCGCGAGGAGATGCTAGTGAGGAGAAGGCTACGCAAGAGCAGCGGGAAGAGACTGCGTTGGGTGCGATGTACATGACTCCGGCACATATTCCCCCTTCTCCAGGTGAACCCACAAACCAAATACCGGATGAAGAAGTCGATAGAGACGTGCAGACGATGACGTCGGGTCCTGATGTCGAAGCTGTATTCTGGAATAATGCCGACCCAGCGCCATCAAACCTTGGAGTAGCAGACCTTGTTGCCCAGTTGGCGGGCGCGATGGAGACTCCGCCCTTCGGTGTAAATGGCAATGGAGATATTAATGTACCTCCTGTTGACGCCAGTACTGCGTCTGCATTATCTACGATGCCGCCGGAGCAGCTACAACAGCTTTTACAACAACTAAATCCAACTCTATTTGGGAATGGGAACGCGAATCAAATTCCTTTCGGAGGTGGTGACCAAAATTGGACACAACAGCCGGGGGGATTTACCGAGTATGGACATGGGCTCCAGGACGACACGTCGGAGGGGGCCGGCCACTGGCGGGGGGGAGGAAGAGGGGCGCGTGGAATAGGAAGGGCCCGCGGCCGTGGTCGGGGTGGGCGAACTGACGATGGCGGGTATAGACACAATAAAAGAAAACCATGCAGTTTCTTTCAGGCAGGAAGGCGAGCATTGAATCAACATATGTCTAAATTGGGGACGGAGACTGATCGTTCCGTAAACAGATGCAAGTATGGCGATCAATGTGATTTTGCACACGAGTACGTCTCATGACAAACGTGGAACATATACGGGATCGTGTATTATAGTACTTGCTGCAATCCTATCTTAATTCACTCTACACTTGCGTAACACCCTCCTCCTCATTGCACATTGCTTTTCAAAAATATTCGCTACCAAGTACACGTTACAAGGAAAGATAAATAAGAACGGCATAAAACAAAATGTCTCCGGGTAGAAGTAAGATATCCATGTAGACTACTAAGTTACAATCTATGGTTGCACAAAAAAATTAAGTGATGCAAATCGGAGATGAGCCAAAAGATAAACACAACTTGGAGATGCTATCCTCCCCCAGTAGTCCTCCCCCGTTTCCGAGTAGCACGTTTCGGAGGCGGCTGATCTGATCCGGTCGTTGGTGAGATATTACCGGAAGGTTGTTTGCGCTTCAGTGAGGCATTCGATAACGCCGGCGTGTTCGCTGTCGATGTGGGCGTCGACGAAGAGGCCGTTGACGACGCATTCTGGTTATGCGGAATCGTCTTGTGCTGCTTCGTCGGCGAATTATGGGCTGACAGCGGCGCATTTTGAGGTGAGTTCATCGAAGATGGGGGTGCCTGCGAGGACATCTGGGGCTGAGGCAGTGAGGCAGGATTGGTCACGGAAGGTGGGGCACTAGAGTACAGTGTTGTCGAGCCCATGGCGCTCGCAGTGGGAAACGAAGCAAAGGGATATGACATCATGCCACCGCCGGAGCCAATTTGGTTCATCCCATTCATCATATGCTGACCTCCGGGATGCGGTATGTGCGCCATTGAATCCCTCAGTCGGTTTGCAAACTTGTTCAGAGCATCTTGTCGTATCCTTTAAAAGTCTTTATCGATGTTGGTAGAAGAGAAAAACGAACCTATTGGCCCCAATTTTGTGTCGGAGGAGAACGTTATCAGGTCAGTCATCTGCGCTACACTTTCGGCCAACTAAATCAATCAAACAAACAAACAAACGTCAATCGAGGCAGTTGCGCGATCAGAAGCAAGTACGAACCTCCAAACACCGCATTGTAGCTTGCGGTATCCCGAACGCATTGACAGGCTCTCCAGGAATGGATCCCCGCTCAATGATGATTCTGGGTTCTTCCCACTTCTTATCTTCATCCTCCTGACTCAAGATACCGTTGGCTCCTGGTGTAGGCACATTGCGTATCCGTGGCGTTTTTGGAGAATCTACCATCCTTGTGCCCATGATAGAATCAAGAGCAATAAATTTATCGTGATAATTGGCGTCGAACTGAAAATCTTCAAATTTCAGCACATAGTTTCCCGTGGCAGTCGATGTTCCAGGCGGGTGCGGTGACGTTATCACGACATGTGCAGTCAAAGGTCCCCGCAGCGTAACCGTATAGCCATTGTTGTATTTGTACGTCCAAACCGCCGTTACGCATTCAACAACAGAATGGCCCTGCGCATACATTCGCTCTCGAGCCCCGTCCAGAGTTAGGGTCATGGATTTGACGCCCGATTGGGTTGTCACCAAGAAGAAACGGGGTAATATGGGAACTCCAATTTCTAACGAGTAATATTCAGTATCTGCGAATCGACAACACGAAACAACGGTACCAAAAGGTTTTGCTTCAGTTTTTTGGTTATCCTTCCACAAGGTTATTTTCATAACAGATTTTGGCGTAAAATACTCCTTGATTAAGTCATTCCACCAAGAAAGCTGCAATTTCTATCACAAAGATGAATGACTGACATTGAGCGAAGCACACAATACGTACCGTTCTGCTCTCATTCGACAAGTTACCACTAAACTGCAACAATCGTGTGAGTCCCTGACCGCTTCCAAGTGCCGTTGTCACACTATATGGAAAACAATATTCTAACATGCCGTCACAACAAAGCAAAAAAAGGTTCACTTACACGTTTACAGGTTGTGGGCGGGGAGCAGACGCCGACGCGTGCTGATCAGTCGATGACGCTGTGGACGAAGAGGCCGGCGACCCGTGAGTAAGATTGCCCTGGGACTGATTTGATGGTCTCGGGGGTCCAGCAGGCTGACTAGAGCTCAAGACTTGAGGCTGCAGTCCAGGCTGTGGCTGGGGGCCGGTATGTTGGGACGGTATACGTCCGCCAGCCGCAAGTGCAGGATTTGAAGGGAGTTGGGATTGAGTGATGCGAGGGGTATGTGAAGAGGAAGGTCGTCCGGACTGAGACCGCGGTCGAGAGAGAGGTCGAGGATATGTGTTTATGTTATCGGACGGTGACGGAGGGTGAGAAGACGGCTGAGATTGGGGTAGCGGTGCGTGGTGGTGATTGTGCGATGGTGGGCGGGGAGGAGGCGGCATACCAAACGAATTATAGTTTTCAGTTCCTTGCTGCTGCATCTGCTCAAATTGTTGAGCTGGAGTCAGTTGGAAGGCGGTCCGGTTCGGTGGCGTATTGGCAATATTCGATGGTAGCGCTCTTGACATCTCCCCCATTTGTGTTGGTGGTGTTGATGAAGGGACGAAAGGAAATTGATTGTTGCCTCCGGATGATGCCTGTGCTGAGAACTGAGGAGGGGTCGAAAAGTCGATAAAGGCCATAGGATTATCGGGTGGCATCTGGGAGCGATTCATACCAGGCTGCGACGGACCTGGACCCATATTCATGGCAGGAGTATGCGACGACGGATGTGAAGGGGGGCGGGGCGAAGGAGGTATTTGGGCGGTCTGATGCTGGAGAGGAAGAGGCACTGGACTCTGAAAGTTGTTCTGATGCGACGATTGCATCCCGCCTTGCATGGACTGCGACTGGGCTGGCGGAGGGATACCATTCATCATTCCCAACTGTGCTGACCCCGTTCTGACGACATTCTGGGGAAGTCCTGGATTGCCACTGGCGCTCCTCATCCCCATCGCCATTTCGGGTGACATATGGCCAGAGGGCTGGCGCATCTGCGGCTGCTGGGGCTGTCCGTGGGGCTGGGGTGGTTGTCGCATTTGCGTAGGCATATTGCCTTGTTGGTTCATTCCCATGGGCAGGGAGCCAATATGGTTGGCCCCTGGTGGTAGTGGTTGGCCATGGGAGACCCTACGATTAGCGATAGACTGCTGCTGCTGCTGTATCACAGGATTGTTGCCGAAATTGATGCTCTAAAGAGATGAAGGGAAGATGAAAACTTGAGTGGAATATCAAAGCGAGTTGCAAGGAACACTTGCCATATGCGCGCCACCCGCGGATGGGTTCATTGGCTGGACGGGTCGCATCAACATCGGACGCTGGGTCGGGCCCGCTGAAGGGTGCTGCTGCTGTACCGACATTGGATACCGCTGATGCTGGATGGAGGGGTTCTGATTAGGAGGCCCGCCGCCCAACATGCCCATTGGCGGCACGGTCGATGATGGCATACCCAGTTGCTGCTGCTGGCCAGGCTGAGGAGGCGACTGCATGAATGAGCCACTGTTGAGAGCCATCATTGGTGGCTGACCCATGCCTGGCTGACGCAGCATTTCAGGTCGAACGTTGACGTTCATGTTCGCAAAAAGTTGTCTCTGGAAGAAATTGCGACACTCGGAAACCTAGACAGGCGGTTTCAAATAGAGTCTTGGAGCGTGTAGACGCACATAAAAGACAGGTAAAAAGGCGCAGACTGGATGAAGTCTACGAGCAGGAAGACTGCAGAGACAGAGACACCGAGACAGATGTCTTGGAAAAAAATGGAAATCTGGGGTGATCGGCAGGGCAGAGCGCACGCTGACGACACCGGAGTTCGACGGGCAAGACGACAATGACGACGACAAGATTTGCCTCGGGAGCGACGTCGATAGCGTCGGCGGAAGAAGAGAAGTGCGGGAAATGAGGCAAGACAGAGGCCAGCGCTCGTTGTTCAACGAATTGTTCCCACGTGGGAGCGTGCTTCGCTTCCTCTTCCTTTTTCGTATCTCTCTACCCCGGACCTCGTCGCCGTCAACGACGCTTTGACGACAACGACGACGACGACCGCCGCCCGCCATGGTTCGCAAGCTCAAGTATCATGAGCAAAAGCTCCTTAAAAAAGTTGATTTTCTCAATGTATGCGCCTTTTTCCGTCGTTTTTCCACTGTCTAATGCTCGCCTCAGTGGAAACAAGACGCCAACTTTCGTGAAATCAAGGTCATGCGTCGATACCATGTCCAGGATCGAGAGGACTACCACAAGTAGGTCTACGTCGAATGTTGTAGTTGCCGTCACCGACCTTTGCACAGGTACAACAAACTTTGTGGTTCTCTGAGATCCTTTGCGCATCGCGTCTCGATTTTACCTGCCCGAGACCCATTCCGACCTCGCATGGAGAGCCAACTCCTAGCGAAACTGTACGATATAGGAATTCTCAATTCCACCGCGAAACTAAGCGACGTTGATAAAATCACGGTTGCCGCTTTCTGTCGTCGGCGTCTAGCCGTATTCATGTGCATGTCCAAGATGACAGAGACTGTCAGCGCAGTAAGTCTATTCCTGCTCGTCTTGGCGTCTCACACTTAACGGTGTAGGCCGCAAAATTCATAGAGCAGGGGCATGTTCGAGTCGGACCGGACACCATTACGGATCCTGCATTCTTGGTGACGAGGTCCGTACCATGTTTCTTGTCTGGATGCTACTGATATTCACGTAGACGAATGGAGGACTTTGTCACCTGGGTCGATACGTCGAAACTCAAACGGACGATCATGTCCTACAATGACGAACTGGACGACTACGACCTGCTATGACCAGACTGACCGGCAAAAGTACCGGTACCACATTGTGTTCAATCATCTGTCTTTTGACGAATGGTGTTCACCGGTGTAATTACGTGTTAATGATACCACTCCTACAAATGTATCTCCGGCCACCATCTGGACCAACATAGGACCACATGAATCTCGCATCATTAGACGCAATCTGAAGATGGGACTATGTTACTCGTGTTTTCGTCAACGTGCAGATGCAAATAGTGAAGGATGTCTCCTCTCAGAGTTGTAGCATATATGTTGCTCTGTCCACCGTAGAATACGAAATGCATGTTAACGCCCCGTTGCTAGACAGATATTTGATGAAATACCAACAATTTCAAAGGGACAGTGCCAAACAACGGATCTAATCGCTCTTTCTTGTTCTTGCGATCCGTGGCGCCAATTTTATGTATGCCACCGTACGGCGCAATGCTCAGGCCCTCGTCGCCGCCATTGCTGCTAGCAGTCAGATCTTGTCGCGTCCTCTGATACAGAAACCATCTCTTTTCGGACAGCCACTGCACCCATCACATCCTCACCTAGGTCAGTCCTTGTCTCACTCCATGGCTACATATCACCAGCTCAGGCGTTCTCTGTGTAGTCCACCCGAATGAATTGACGGCCGGAATACCTCATGAAGAATACGAAAGGAGACGCAGAGCGCTCATGGAAAGCCTGCCCGACAATAGCATGGTTGTCGCGGCAGCGGCACCGGTGACGTTCATGAGCGGAGGTACGTGGTATCCAGTCCATACGTCAGCTGATTGCCAGGCTGACATCGTCGACCAGAAATATTGTGAGTTCTTTCGCGTTTCTTGTCCAGTCACCAATTGAACAACCATCGAGTCACAAGTACCGACAAAATTCGGATTTCTGGTATCTTACCGGCTTCGAGGAGCCTGATTCTGCCGTTATTCTCGGTAAGTGCACATGTGTCGGCGTGGGCTTGTACGCTTCGACACGGAAATCTAAAAACATCACGACGCTTTGAACATCGATGCTGGAAATGAGTCGATTCTGATGTCGAAGGGTGCAACTGCGTGGGATCCGAAAATCGTCCAGAAATAATTCTTCAGCATGGGTCAGTCTACGAAAACTCGACCTCTCGTGTGCGAATATCAAGCCCACGCCGTGAAATCATGCTCTTTTTCTGTCTGTACTTAATGTCTTCACAGAGAAGAACTCGACATCGCGCGGGTATTCAATGACTTTGTTCGTCAACGAAAAGGACCCATCTGAGGAGAGATGGTCCGGCACCAGAACGGGGGTTCGCGCTGCCGGTGAAGCATTTCATGCAGACGATGCCCAACCCATAGCATCCTTCCCAAAGCATCTGGGCTCAATAGCCTCCTCCTACTCACACATCTTCTCTGACCCACAGTCTCACCAGGATGAGCCTGCGCATAAAAAGCTCCTCAAATATCTATCGAACCCTCTCAAGAAACGTGCTCGCGAGATAGACACCACCATGTCCACCATTTCTGGTTCACGACGACGCCCGCTGAAATCCAAACTCGCACCCTCGCGGGCTATTAAAAGCGAAGTCGAAAGACATGTTATGCGAGCCGCGGCAGACATCAGCGGACGTGCCCACGCTAAGGTAGAAACCTGTATATCTTTTCTTAGTATGTTGTTTTGTTGAAATAAGCTCAGACCATGCGGTTCACACGTCCCGGGATATCAGAAGCAGCCTTGTGTGCTCATTTTGAATATCTATGCTGTCTAGAGGGCGCTCAGCGTCTAGCTTATGTGCCGGTCGTCGCTTCTGGGTAGGTTCCTTTCACGAGATGCACAGAGCAACGGCTGATGGTTAGATTTCTATAGTCCGAACGCTCTAATCATACATTATACATCGAATAATATGCCAGTCCAAAATGGGGAGTTACTTCTCATGGATGCAGGATGTGAATACAAGTTCGTGTGCCTCCTTAATTATGATCGGAGGTGCTTACATCCTTCTTACAGCGGTTACGCGTCCGATATCAGTAATGCACAGACAATTTCACTAGATGTCTGTCCTGCTGATCCACTCTCATTTCAGCGCGCACCTATCCCGTCAATGGGTCCTTCACTGAACCACAACGTGATCTATACGCAGCCGTCCTATCTGCACAGAAAGCCCTCGTGGCATTGTGCCATGAAAGCGCCGAAGAGACTTTGTCCAGCCTTCACGCAACATCATGTCGACTTCTCCGAGCCGAACTAGCCCAAATCGGTTTCAACGTCAGTACAGCGGATCTGGCGAGAGATTTGTATCCTCATTCCTTGAGCCATCCGATTGGTGTAGGTTAGTGCTGGTCAATTCTCTCATTTGATCCTCCCGGCTCAAGTCTTTTTTTTCTTTCCATCTTAGATCTGCACGAGTCGCATACTATCAGCAGGGTGGCGCCGTGAGTGAATTTGTCTATTTAGCTCTTTTCGCATCTTTCTAAACGCCAGATAATAGTCTCCAAGAGGGTATGGTTATTACAATTGAGCCCGGTTCGGACAATAGCCATCTCCAAACTCTGTTGCCCTCCTGACATTTTTCCTGCCAGGCATATACGTTCCCCCGCTACCTCAATATCCGAAGGCATTCCATAATATAGGAATCAGAATCGAGGTCGGTTTTTGTTCGTGGCCCTCTTTGTTTCTTCCTGTTTCTTATTGTCTACAGGATGAGGTTTTGGTGGGCAAAACGGACCCCATCGTGCTCACAGTAACTGCTCCCAAGGAGGCGAGTAGGATCTTATCCTAATCAATGGTCTGCTGGACTGACGACTTTGGTAATAGATTGTCGACGTTGAGGGTGCTTGTCAGGGTCTGTTGGGACTAGAGCCGTACTAGAACGAAGTGAAGTTCCGGTGCATGAAGGAGAAAATTTAATCTCGGCGATTCTTCTCAGAAAGAAGTGATCTCGCACCGGCACCATTTCCACTCTTCCTTCTGCACGAGCGTCTGAGGCGACGGTTAGAGAATACGTATATATTGGTTCGTTTAATCCTTGCTCTTATTTACTCTCCTCCAGCTATGATTCCAGTAAGTAATACGCAACGAAGAGCCCAGGACACGACAAGAGTTACTGCGAAAAGACAGCAATATATTCATACCATTCTGAACTTTGGAAGGCTAACCTCCGTAAGGCTGTTGAGATGTGGACAGCAGTCATTGAAGTTCCGAGCATTCACGAAATAAGCAAAGATTGTCAGATCGAGTGACTTTCTCGATGCTAAAGTCTCTTCCGTCTTTATCCCTTAAGGACCTACTAGATATTTCTGCACTCTTAACATCAATTAATCCAGAACAAGGTAAGTATATAACATTCACTCCATCTCCTGGGACCATTTCTCCGCCACTGCCCGTTTGTCCGATCTAAACACCCTGCGAATGAACTGTCCGGGCATCATCCACTCCATCCTCTTCCATAGTTACACCATTAGCTCTCCAGAACCAGCTTACAATATAGTTTGCTGACTCGTCGACAGTTTGATTTCGGAGATCTTCGTTTCCTACCACGTCGCGGGGTTGAAGATTCACCATCTTCCTTAGGAAGTTCTGAAAATCCATCATGTTCGACGTCTGTGAGGTACTTCTGAGAGTTAAAGCTGCTGAAGTATGGACCGACTGCCCCATAATAAAAATGGCAGAGAAAGAAAGGTGGGAAACTTGAGCGGTCGTCAGGCAATCGGATAAATTTGTTTGACCACAGCTACCAGCAAAGATAATACAAAAACCGGGCCCAGATGATGCCTGGCCATGTTGGTAAGTATGGAACAGAGGTGCGAAGAAAGATAATAGAGGATGAGCAACAAAGCAAGAACGCGGACGTCGTAGTGCTCCAGCTGTAGATCCTGTCCGTCTTGACGCAAGTGCCCGGAGGTCCCTGTGACAACAGTGGCAACATAAAGCAACCATTTCGCCCTTGGCGGGCGGAGGCGTTGATGATGACGACTGGAATTCTGAGGAGCAGAGATCGTTCCTGGGCCGGTTTGTCGACAACCATACCCGGGGTATTGGGATGCGAAGGAAAATATACGTTGGTTCTTCCCCCACAGCCACGGATTCCTCTAGCTGCCAAGTACCCACCTTCACCAAGAAGTTGCTCTTGTGAAAGCGGCATAACGATCACATATGAGCCCACTACCATTTCAGAAGTTCTGAAAATATTTGTCGAGGCATTTGGTTACTGGTAGACATAGCCGCTGCGGAATGGTCATGGTACCGGCGCGCAAGTGGTCGACTTCAAGTCGAATTTGGCAGGAAAATATCAGGAAAAATTTTCTGCGTGGTAGGACTGGAATTGAAAGGCCAGTCATCTTTCATGCTTTGGGTATAAGTCTCGTTCAGATTCCACTCCAGCAAATATCACGAGTAATCGATATCCAGTTTTGCTGTGAGATCTCAGCATGCCTCACAGTGTACTTTGTTCGCCCTTGGAACATGGCGGGTTCCTTCTTTTGAGGGAGGCATCTGCTCTATTGCGTGGCCATGATGCGCCGACGCTGGCCGTCGGTTAGCTAGTTGTAGCCTCGAGCAGATGCTTTACGATGAGATACCCTTCGTGGGCAAAGTCGTCTACCCTTGACGCATGGGTGTGTGCACTTGGTAACGAACAACGGATATTTTGATATAAATTTCCAAACAGTGACATTCAGCTGATGCTAGTAGATTTCGACGAGGAGCAACTAAGAATCTGCAGAGAATAAGAGCGGGCGAACGCAGTAGACGCCGAACAGGGATTGCGCCCCAATTTCAATTTTGCGGCCCTTGCTTTCTTATCACGACTTGGTGTCCAAAGGCTGATGAATCCAAGTGTTGGTTCTCTCGTCTTATGCGCCGAATTCGAGCTTTGCTAACTGTCAAGCTTTTTATTGCATCCAGAATCCCTATCGAGCCCGCTGCCTATCCCAATACACCCTAAGTATGCTCCGAACATCATACGGGGAGACGAGAAACAGTCATTCTGTGGTATATCAACACGTCTAAGCGCAAAGGGAGATCCTTGTTCCTATGGAAAGTTTGCATATACAATGCTCTAAAGTGCCCTACAAACCGACGTCTACTGGAAAGCTACCGTGTTCTCCGACGATTCAGCGAGACTTGGCTGCCAACATATGGAAGCAAGTCACGAGCCATTGCATGGAACGAAAAGAACTCTGAACAAAAACATTCGGCACTTCTATTCTTCCAAGCAAATTGCGGTGTGAGAAATGATGGACATTTCGAGTGGGTTTTAACAATGTGCGCAAACTCAAAACTGCTTCTCACGAGTTTGCTTCCCTATCCTCATATCCTCTTATCCTCTGGAAATAGACTCAGACATTGAATACAGAACTCTGCTCCAGAGCGCGTGATGAACTGACCGCTATATATTAGAGTGGCTGCTTATCACTCCTAACAAGATATTCATGCTTGGTCTACAAGGGATTGCTCTAGTCACCGGCGCTGGTTCGCATCGAGCTACTGCCTTGACCCTTTACTGACATTTTTCTCTAGCTCGAGGTATTGGACGAGCTACTGCCCTTGCATTCGCGCGCGCCGGGGTATCTGGTGTACACCTCACCGACGTGCGTAGCATGCTTCTCGAGGATACAGCCAAGGACGCTGTGAACACTGCCACGAATCCGAACTTCAGAGTCTTCACGTCCGTGGTAGACGTCACCGAAGAAGACCAAGTGCTCCAGATGGTCAATGACACTATCAAGACCTTTGGAAGGATCGACTACGCCGCAAATATCGCTGGGGTCTGTTCGGGAATGTTCTATCTTACTTTCTTCGATTGACTATCGATAGGTCGTGGACATCTCATCGGTGACCACTGATGTAACAATGTCAGAGTACGATCGTGTTAACAATATCAATGCCCGTGGTGTCTTCGTGTGCATGAGGGAGGAACTCCGGGCGATGCTCAAGCAAGGACCTGTTGCTCACATCCCTGGGCGCCCCGCCATCCGAGGGACGATCACGAATCTCGGGAGCGGAGCAGGACAGCTGGCTGTTCCTGGGATGAACAGCTACGTTGTGTCGAAGCATGCCGTTGTTGGAATGACGAAGGCTGCTGGTGAGTTTATTTATCTAGTATGCGACAAGTGTTCAAGGGCGCTGATCAATAAGCTTTGAATCATGCTATGGATGCTGTTCGGGTGAATGCCATCTGTCCTGGATTTGTTGATACGGAGATGTTGAAGAATGTAGGGGACATTGTTTATAGTGATAAGATTCGTGAAGCCATTCCGATGAAGGTATCATTCTTTATTGACTACTATGGTGCCATTCGCCTCACCAGATGTCGTTTGTAGCGAGTGGCTTACCCAGAGGAGATTGCTGACCATGTCCTGTTTTCGGCAAGTCAGTTATCTAGTTATATGACTGGTCATTCATGGACAGTGGATGGAGGATATGGCATTGCCTAACTGAATACATACTGCGTTCACCAAGGTGGTACATCCACAGAACGATTGGGAACCAGTACATGAGTTTGAGGAGGACCTAATGATGAAAATATTTTCGAACAAAGCAAATAAACAAAACAAGAACAAAACCGGCGGACATAGGCCTTGGCTGAACAGGCAAGCAATTTCGTAAAAAAATACTGATTGCAGGCCTTATGGGTTAGATGCTGTGTTTTTTCGGCGCAATCTCACTTTCCCCCCCAGAAATCGCCTCTTAGGAAGGGACCACGCGGCGTAAAATTGATCACTTTATTTTGGCAGTGATACATCTACGATTTCACAAGTATGGGGTATCAGCACTAAGCAGACCGATCGAAGAGTAAAGAGCACTTACCTGACCTATACGTACCTCTTCGACGTTCCAAAATCATTCGCCCGGATACACAGCTCTAATCCTTCCCCCTGAAATTCCTTCAGCCGCCTAACGCTCCCCTCCGATAACGGGCATTTGTATGACCCTGCCTCTGGAACCCAGACATCAAACCTTACTGCGTGCAACGATCTCTTCGCATGCCTTCCCGCAATCATCTCCACGAAAACCTCGTCCAAAAATACCAACGCTTCACTCGTGTCTCGATCATAGCGATTAATTGCCAGTGTTCCTAACCGACTCACCAGTGCACCCTGCATATGGCTCATCAGAGACCTTAGGTGCACACTGGATGGATCACGACAGCGAGGGATATTCAGGCTCAGAAACTCGAGCTCGGGCGACATTTCCAGGATATGTATCAGGTCCGAGTCGGGGGCAACGTCATACACCGATAGACGACGCAGGGAGCACTTGGACCGCGATATCATCCCAAGGAGGGCTGGAAGGTTGGTATCCGCGCGAGTCTCGTCCACGATGTAGGGACGCAGGGTGATCTCCTTCAGTGCGGGAAGCGTCAGACTGTCAAGGAAGCTGCTATCGCGCACGTTGAGAAGCGATAACCTATCGTGAAATACAGGAGTGAGCATGGAAAGGATCTGTTGCCGGACATTGCTTTCGAACGCCTCAAGATATGGCGCTTTGTTGAGTATACCCAAATCAAAGGCTCTCCCTTCTGGAATGCGGTGATCGCAATAATGAACGAGGTTTTTCCACGGAAAGGCAAATCGTGTATATGGACCCAATCCACGAATCTTTATGTTGGTTAAACGCGGAGCAACCTCGAAGCCTTCTATGTTATCCACGCTGGAAGAGTAGCATGAAAAATGAAGGTCTGTCAAGGACGACAGACGTCCATGAAGTTGAGAGAGCATGGGTATAAGATGACACGGCAATTCCAGCTGGACGACCTTCCACGAATCGGAATGATTTATTAACACCTGGAATAACGCCTTGAGAAGGTAGTCCCCGTCTGACCCCGCGTCAATAGCCAGGTCTTTCCACGTAAAATTAAGGGTATGACGACAGCGAGTGGCAACGGCGGTAAGCAGCGAGAGAGGCTGGCGTTTCCAAATGAGACGGGATGAATTAAGGGTAAAGTCCGTCCAGATTTCGGGCAACGACATGGTTGTGGCTCGCCAGGAGCTGCAGACCTGACTAAGTGTCCATGGCAAACTGTGTTCATCAGCCAGATCGAGGGTGTCGTATTGAGCTCTGGCCCATAGGAAGACTTCCATCAGCAGTTCGGGGGGGATACGCTGTATGGGTGCTGATATACATTTCTGGTCCTTGCTACACTTGACGTCGACGTGTAAACCGAGATCAAATTGTACGGTACCATCCTCTGTAACGCACTGAACAGTTGGGATTTTTTGGTATAGCGCTTGCGGCTTGATGAAATCCAGTGACGCGGGTACGAACATGTACCTCAACGGGTTCGCATCACCATCCAGGCATGGATTCATTTTGCTAATCTGGGTCTCGAATGAATGCACAATGAAACGTAGAATGCAATGAAACGTACCTTTTCTCGCTCGTCGCCCATTGTAACATCGAATAGACCGTAGCTCGACGCGCATATAAGGCATTTTCCATAGGGTGGCCGCCCGCTGCGTCATTCCAGGGCCAAACCTCCGATTCGCAGGAGAAACGGATAGATCAAACTTGCCCTTGAGAAAACCGCAGATAAAAAGGCCGATGTGGGACGCTGGTGCGATGATAGTGGAGGTTCATGATCAAGGTGTTTGGGCTGACACATCCTTGCGGCGACAGCCTGCTTTGTGCCTTGAATGTATTTCTTCGCCGGTAGTTAGTCAGAGTGCTACACTGAGTACAGATCGACCCTGTCTCCGTTCAGTACAACGGGAATCTAACCACAGAGTCCCTACGCTTCGCCACCTCGAAAGACTCGTTCGCTATTGTTTGGTCAATATTCTGAGCCAGGCATCCAAGACAATTTGCGGGACATTGACAAGAAGGATCCTGGTTCAAGCTATTACTACGCGTCCTGAGCTCTCGGCGGGCGCGTCGGCGTCTTGGGAATGATGGAGAGGTGAATGTTGCCACTTTTGAGTGAGCCATAAAACGAGTTTCGCCTAGGTGTTGCAGGGCGCAATGGAGGAGGAACAATGGGAAGGAGTTCTTGTGCAGAAGGGTTACGATTTGGAACAGGTCGAGCCTCCAGGACGTTGTTTGATGTCGGATGAAAGGAAGAACGACTATCCTCACCTGTATGAATTGAACAGACTTTATTGGAACTTTCTTCCACTTCGTTCCACTTCGCAACCAAGAGAGCGAGCACAACAGAAACCAGAAAATAAGCTGCAAGCGATGCCAGAACGTGGGGAAGAGCTTGACGTTTCGTTTCAGGGGACGCGTCAGGAATGGCCAGAGGGTTATTGTTGGTAGACATGAGGTGGGATCGTATCGAGCTCAACGAAGGCGGCGGTAATGGCACTAAGTTCCGAGTCGACGTTGTCTTGGTATCTTTACGTCAAAAGTAACCGCAACGTGGAAGGATTTCAAAGTCCTAACATAGCCAACAAGACTGTTATAAAGGCATTTAATACTATATGTCCGCATGCAGGGGAAAGATAGACATATATCCACGTATGTGTATCGATAGGTTGGAATTTAAAGAAATACGCCAATACGGCGACAACAAAAGTTGAAATATTTGAGAAACTTAACTGTCCGTACTCGAAGTACCATCCGCAGCCTTCATTGACTGAAGGACGTGCTGCCTACTAAGCCACCTGTCTTCCGGAGTAAAGTACCAACTGAGAACACCGAAGATCGTAACGGCACCAAAGATTACACAAGCCTTTGCGGTCACGTCAGAACGAACTTTAAATTCATATAAGCCTTACTCACGAAATTGAAAGTCCCAGCAGTAGTCGGGAAGTAGAAAGGTGAGATCATGACCTATTCGAACGTCAGCGAATCTTCCATTCGACAAAACCCAAGTACATACCGCAAAAATTAACCCATTAAACAGGGCCGCCGCCGCATAAAAGGGCATCGCAAACCTTCCCAAGAGGAAGTGCGACGATCGGAAATGGTTCGGAGTCATAGTGAACCGCAAGAGTGCGATTAACCCGTAGGCAGCAATGGTAGGTACGCCACCCGCAGACACCAACGACGTGAATGCGACTTGACTAGGGAGAATCGTGCACAGAATGGCAGCCCCAAAAATGAACATCACAGTAACGGCATTCTTTGGCTGCCCTTGATCATCCACCTTTCCAATCCATCCCGACAAGGGAAGAACGCCGTCTCGCGCGACCGCAAACACGAGTCTGGACGCCGCCACAATGGCTACACTGGTGTTCTGGATGTAGATGAGATGGTGCTTTTATTTATGCAGCGTAAACACGAACCAGAATCAAACCAAGTACCGCAATTATGGTCATAAAAATACTGGGACCTTTACCGAGGGCCAAAGCATATATCTGGACGAACGGCTGTGGTGCATTCAGGGCGAACAGTGTGTCCAAGTCAGGTGTGCAGAATAGGAACAAGATGGTGGTTGCGAATCCAAAGAAACTGGTAGCCGCTGCGCTCGTTAAAATGCCTTTGGCTGCCACGACACTCGCGTTCCTGGTTTCCTCTGCAATGTGTCCAGAAGCATCGAATCCTGTCAAGGTTCCCGCAGTGAAAAGGCTACATCATACTGGTAAGCGATAGATTCACGTGAAGGAAGAATGCCCCTACAAGGACAAAATCCAATTCCACCCAGCAGGTGCTCCAGTCCCATTATCTGTTTTCACAGTCAGTAAACATATTTGTCAACTCGATGCGGAGTGCTTACAGGTCATAGTAAACACTTCTTTTGCATCCCTGAAGCCATACGTTTTGGAAACACCGATGGGAAGCCAAATGACGCAAAGGAGGAAATCCACCATCATCAGAGCCGTGGAGAATCGAAACACCGCCGAATAGAGTTTTGGCGGGAGGTAGTTGATAGCTATGGCCAAAAGCAACATCGCCTCAGATAACGCCCAGATGAACGTGCGCCATTTGACATTATCGTTGGAAGCACCACCCGGGAAATCAACTTCCCAGACTTGCAGTTGGGACACAATGTAGTTCGCCGTGGTCTATCAGTATGGTGAATATACAAACAAAAAAGAGCTATACGACCCAACCTACCTGACAATTCCCAGCAGCAAAGGTCATCCAAGCCGTGCACGCCCACCAGGCGACGATGAACCCGAAAAACCTGGCATACTTCGGCCCGGCACTTTCTGCAGCCCAAATGTAGATGGATCCACTGAGGGGCAATGCAGAACAGATCTCAGCCAGGACCGCCGCCGTGATAAGCATGAAGACGATTGTAATAACATACGAAGACCTATAAACGCCATTGGACAACCAGGGAGAAGGAGACGGCGACCTGCCTACCATACTGCGGCAGGACCGCCGGCGAGAAGCCCCAGGAAAAGACCTGACCTTTTGAGGCAGAATTAGAAAGGACGACTTATTCATCAACGAGATAGGGACTAACCTGACTCCGCCGATAAAGTTCAATGCACAAAAACTCGCGGCGAAGCTTTCGATGAGATTCCAGCTTCGATGGAGTTGCTAAGAAAAGACAAAGTGAGGGGGTTATCAGCACGACACAGAACCAATCTACCTGTTTGTAGCCCAGGTTTTGCTGCAGAAAAGAATATCAGTACATCTGCGCAGAGCCCCTCCCGGAGCGAAAGAAATGGGTTAAAACACTGGGGGCTTCCCTACGCAGGTCTGAGCGCTGATCAGGTTCAAGCGGTATTATCTCAACCCTCAAAGGAATTATGGGCCCCTCCTCCGCAGTGAAATTTGTCCTTTGTCGAGACAGCAACCAAAGCAGACGAGGACGCACAGTGTCCAATGAGGATACCCGCAGCCATTCCAGTATACCCACTAGAAATTGAACGTTACCAAGATAGCGACCCATCAATTGTAGGGCTTCCTCCGAAGTTCTATCCCTGCATCTTCACCAATTGCAGCTGGTCCTGATCGACTGGCACTTCAGCCAGAGGCGTATCCTCAATAGATGCCTTGGAATGCGTCGACATACTCAATATCTCTCTCCGGTGGAGATGGGAAGTAGGAGCAACGGATGTGACCGGATCAAAGGTTAAAATTGCAAGTATTTACAGCGGCTTAGTCAAACTCCCTGGTCATGGTGCCGGATCCGCTATCCCGTCACACTTGCGCCATACGGTCTCGTACCTATCTACTGAATGTTGAAGCGCTACATGCGAGACTCAGCTTGAAGGCTGCTAAAAGAGGGGAGAAAAAACTCACAGGTTTTAGTGCCTTGATGAGCAGCCATTCCTCGTTCGAAACATCGGCCTTGAAGGAGGACTAGCGAGGAACTTCAATCCAGATCATCCTAGTACTAACTGGGATTCATTACCTTGAGTACGTCAATACTCTGCCGAGAGATATGACTGAGCAGTTCATCCTTCTCATCGAAATGTCGGCCAAACATCTTTGCCGACTGGTACACCGCGTGCTCAATCTTCACTGCGACCCCTCCGCCTGCTTGGGATTTCTTGACAATCTATTTGACAGATCAGAACCGACGTCCCCAACCATTGAAATAACACGTACCTCTTGTGACTTGTGATTTATTTCCAGCGACGTTCTGCATGAAGGAGTTAATACTGTTCCGAGGCATACGCAACAAGGGTAACTCACATTTTGCCCAGATCAATTATCTCCTTCTTACCCGTTGCGGGATCGATTTTAACCACAGCCAGCGGTGTTCCTACCCGGAGGGTGCCATCTAGAATATCAACTCCCAAAATAATGGGGTCTCGTTTACAAAACGCCGCAATAATTTTGAGTCTACAGGGCCAAACAGCCTGAGGCGCAGCATCCCGTCGTTTGGCCTCCAGAATTTCGGCATTGTACGCCGTAAATTTGTCGAACAGGTGGTATATGATATCGGCTACAATGCGCGATGAGTTTCACGGGAGTCAGGGATGAGAATGAGAATTTGTCACCTTTGAAAAGGCGAATACCCATCTCTTCCGCCATTCGCTCAGCATCTTTGTCGACCGGGACATCAAAACAGAGGATACATGCGAGCTCCCGAGCTCTCTCCAACATTGTGGCTGCCCGCATGATGTCTTTCTTGTGGACAGGTCCGATGTTAATTCCAGACACCGGGATCTTGCTGACCTTGAGGAAATCTAAAAGGGCTTCCAATGAACCAAGTGTCGATGATTGAACGCAGACGCCACGACCGGACTTGTCTATGCTGTTCAACAATGATGTCAAATCAGACATGACCTCGTCTCGAAGGTCATCTTCATCGTCGTCTGGCCCACACACAAGCAGTCGAGAACCAGCGATGGCCTTCTCCAAATCTGGCGCGGTGATCTTTACTCCCAAGGCCGCCTTGACTTCTTTGTGATGCACATAGGCAGACTGTAATCGATTGAGTCAGTTTTCTGTCAAATCGCAACAGAAAAAGAACGCTGACCTTGATCCGAAGTTCTCTCAAAGGTTGAGGAGTCAACAGGGCTCGCACTTGTGTAACTATAGGCCCGTTCAATCCACAAACCACGATCTTGTCTCCTTCCCTTAAGATGCCGTTCGACAACACCACATCAATCGTCGTACCCAAACCTTCAATAACTTTCACTTCCAACACCGTACACTCCAACTCGCTTAGATACATCAAGCGATCACTCATCCTCTGCTGGGTCAGGTTCACCAGAAGCATGATCATATCCGGTACACCCTCCCCAGTTATCGCAGACGTCGGAACGAGCGAGACATTCCGGGCAAAGTTCTTGTTATCGTAGTATAGCACCGCATTCAGGCCCTCCTCAGCAAAAGCCACGATTGTCTTGGCCACCCTGTCCTCGAACTCTCGCTGGACAGCACGGGTCTGCTTTGCTAGGGACTCACGGAAAGCGCCGTCGGGGGTGGCGTCCCAGCCGTACATACGATCGATCTTCACCTGATATTATCGCAGGTCCTTGAAACACGGACATGTGACTTACCTTGTTCAGCGCAACAATGAAAGGTGTTTTACGATCCCTTAGTAGACGTAACGATTCAAGGGTTTGAGCCTCGAGGCCGTGCTACGGGAAATACTTTAGATGCCTAAAAAGTCCGGGGAAGAGAATAAGCCGTACCATTATATCTACGACCAATATAGCGATATTGCACAGAGAACTACCACGAGATCGCAAATTTGTAAAAGATTCGTGTCCTGGCGTATCTATAATCAGAAGACCTGGAATCTTGTATTCTTGGGCTCCATCCTAGAAAGAAGATTATGAGAAGATAGGACATTGGAACATGAGCCCGCCCCTCACTTTGTTCATAACCGCTGTCTTGGTCTTGATAGCCTCAACTGGGAAATATGTTGCACCAATTTGTTGGGTGATTCCTCCAGCTTCGCCCTCTTGAACGTTAGTCTGTCTAATTTTGTCAAGTAGCTTAGTCTTCCCAGTATCGACATGTCCCAGAATACAGCAGATCGGACTTCGTAGATCGTCTTTACTGCGGGCGGCCAGTGCAGCTTCGTGGGCTTTCGCTCGTCGTTCAGCTGCTTCTGCTTTCTTCTGAGCAGCCATCCTCTGAGCATTAGTAAGTTCATCATCAGATGACGACTCTTCTTCAGAATCAGAGTCGGAATCAGAGTCAGAGTCAGAGCCGTCTTCAGAGTCACTTTCTTCTTCTGACTCCTCAGATTCCTCAGCAGGTGCGGCTTTTGATTTCGTGGCAGTGGAAGGGGCAGGTTGAGATGTTGATGACGCTGGTTCGACAGCTTTCGGCTTTGCGGGAGCTTGGGCAGGCACTGGGAAACATGTTAGTTACTGCGTGAGATGGATTAAATGATTAGCCACCTTTTGGGCTTGATGATGGTTGCACTTTCTTTTGCTCAACTGACGCAGCTGGAGGTTTTTCTGCCTCTTCATCACTCGACGCATCCCAATCGTCCTTGACTCCGTCGGCTTTCTTGACATCCTCGTTCTTCTCTTCACTGCTATCATCCCAATCCTCCTTCGCAGCGCTCTTCCCGTTGACTTCTTCCTTTACCTGATCCTTGGGCGGCTCAGGCTCAGGCGTCCGAGGTCTTGACTCCGTTACCTCTTTCTTGACGATCTTCCTTCTATTTCCATAGACAACCTTCTTCTGAGGACCGCCAGCCTGTTGCTGCTGCTGCAAGCCCTCAATCTGAGCACCAGAGGCAATCAGTGCTTTTTTTCGTATTTCTGCCATCGTTCGCTCCTCCTTCTGTTTCTTCGTGAGCAGTCTACCCTCCTTCTTGGCTAACTCCCTCTTCGCCTAATCAAAATCAGGATCTAGTTCGTCATCTGAGGGAATCAAAACCTACCTTCTCCTTCTCCTTCCGTCTCTTTTTTTCCTCCTCCCTCCGTTTCTCTTCTTCCGCCGCCTTGCGTTCCTCCTCCTCGATCCTCAATCTTTCAGCTTCCACCGCCTTCCTTGCTTCTTCCTCTAACCTCTTCTTTTCCTCCATCATGGCTTTCAGTGCACTAATGCCACCGGCTTTCTTCTTTGTCGGGGCTGGGGATGGGACGGGCTCATCGTCCTTTTTGGCGGCTTTCTTTTTCTTTTTCTTCTTCGATGCCGCGCCGGTAGCAGCACCTTCATCACCATCGCCTTCATCGTCACCCGCAGGAGTGTGGGGAGCCGGTTCAGCGAGGGACGTCGGTGTAGGTGCACTTGGAGCGGCAGCTTCCTTCTTGGCAGCAGCCTGAGCCTTTTTTTTTGCCTACAAATATCCATTCAGTGTCTTTAGTTATTGAACAAGGAAAAGAACCACACCTTTTCGCGTTCCTTCTTCAGTTTTTCTTTTTCTTTTTTGGAAAGAATTTTGACGCCACCACCCTCTTCATCATTTTCATCGACGTCAGCGGCAGAGGTAGGTGGTATTTGTGATGGTTCAACAGTCGTCGACTGAGCCTCCTCTAATAGAGGATGCATTAGAAATAAGAAACTTCTTCCAAAGATATAGGCAACTCACCTTTTGTCTGGGCCTCTGAATCCTCATCCTCGGGGGGGTTCCTCTTGGCAGCCTTGCCTTTCTTTCCCTTCTTACCTTTCCCTTTGTCCTTGATAGGACCCCACTCTTCATCGGCCAGTTCTTCCGCCGTCATTTCAACGGGCTGTTTCTTCACCTCTTTCTCTTCATTCTCCTCTAAATCGTCAAGATCTACCGGTTGTTGTTTAGTCTTCCTCTTGTCCTTCTTATTCTTTCCATTGCTAGCCTTAATAGCGCTCTGTGGAATGTTCGTTGGTGGCGATACGGTGAAGATATCACGCACAGGAAACATACCATCAGCCCGCCGAAATCTTCTTCCTCATCCACGCCATTGTCGACTGCAAGCGCAGAAAATCCAGCGCTAGCGCTCTTGACTTCACCATCGTCGTCTTTGAAAGTGAGGTTGACAATGTCATTAGTTGGCACGGATTCACCGGCCTTCTCCCTAGGCTATATTAGTATCCGTACGCTACATGAACATTATAATAGATGAACCAGTAATCATCGTCGTTGTTCTTCTTGCCCTTCTTGCCTTTTGCGTTTTTTGGTGCCATGATTTGTGTCGATGTAGCTGAGTGAGGATCGGTGCCGAGTGCGTAGAATTGGTGAAATCGGATCAAGGCAGAAATGGCTTTGTCAGCATACCGTCTCTTGACCTACGACGACCAAGTCCCTCACGCGGCTCACGGCCTGCCCTTCGCGTTTATAACATTAAAGTTCCTCTACAGCATGGGGTTACTCACTATCATCCGAAAAAATCGCCTTAAAGCGCAGGAAATGCGTATTCTCTTTCTGTACGTCTTCAGTGATCCACCGGTATTCATTCATACAGAACCTGACTGTTATGTACTAGTGGCCTCGATAATGCCGGAAAAACGACCATATTGAAGTATATATCACATGAAGACACGTCGACAACGTCTCCTACGCTTGGTTTCAACATAAAGACGCTTGCCTTACCATCCTCACCATACACCCTAAACATATGGGATGTCGGGGGCCAACGGACTCTCAGGCCATATTGGCGCAACTATTTTGAGCAAACGGACGCCATAGTGTGGGTCGTTGACTCTGCGGATCGAATGCGCATGCAAGATTGTAAGCAGGAATTGCGGGGTCTCTTGAGTGAGGATGTAAGTCGCGTTTCTCAGTGTAATGTGGCACTGAGATGACCGTAATGTATAGCGTCTAGCAGGTGCATCCCTCCTCGTGTTTGCGAATAAGCAGGATCTTCCGGGGGCATTGAATATTCCCGAAATTATAGCCGCAAGTGTCATATCCATTCCCCCTCCAAATTTCTAATTCTAATTATGATCCCTGTACATTCGTCATCTAGTCGCTCCGTCTCAACAGCATCAAATCTCACCACTGGAAGATATTCGCATGCAGTGCAATGACCGGTGCTAACGTGTTCGAAGGGCTTGACTGGGTTGTAGGTGACGTTGCTGGAAGGTTGTACTACTATTCCTCTACATCTCTCAACTCTTCTTTCGTTTCCCGGCCGCACGATATCAATACAAACCCTGCCTCAGTTTGAACACCGTCAAGCTTTCCTGCCGCCGGAGTACGTAGCGGTATAAGGTTATGTTCTGGAATTCCAAGACAATCCCCGAAAACACCGACATTATCTGACAATTGAGCAGGTCGAAGAATTGCCACCCACGATGCTAACCCCTGCGAAGTTGGCTTACGAAGGACATGCCCATACCATGAAATGACTCCATACGCCTTCCCACCTTGCAGTCGCAGCCAGGTGGATAGAATCAGGTATCTGGGTTCTCAAATTCTGATCTTATCAGTCTCCGTCTATAGTGCGGAATAAGACTTCCCTCTCCTTTACCCCCGTGCACGCGCCCATCTTTCTCCGTGCATGCTACAAAATGTTCATTCGGTTACGTTACAACCGTGTTCGCTCCCGATGGCCGCCAAAATTGGACAAAAGTTATGACGATGGAATAATTCTTCGTGGGCTGATGCACATAGAGAGAGGTTGTTACGTGTATTCAGTGGATCCCCGTACGGCTTGGTCACCTGTTGCGCTGATCCATGGGAACGTGAGACGCGCAACAGGAACTGGCTACAAATTTTGACGCGTGCGTAGGGCCATACGGAAGAAAGGTGCAGTCTCCGCTTCGCCACGGAATGGAATGGAGATGATGGGCAGCACAAGTCCGAAAGAGCAGAAGACGCACGGTGATTAGCTATTCGCCATGGGATGTGCTTGAACTCGTATCCGTCATTGCTTGACGGTATTTGGAAACGAGGATTTTGCCGCGGCAACGGTATCAAGGGCTTATCCAGGTGGAGGCGAAACTTAGCATCAAATGGGTTACGGGTAGGACCTGGTGGGCCTCGGACCATGTCATACGGAGAGATCAAGGGTTTTGACCGGACTGACCGCGGAAAGGGACGCGATACACGGATGCTCATGTCTATTTTTCCAGTAATCCCGGGTGATATCTTCCGCGCAACACAATAGATCCACGGACAGAGATGGGAAAGAGATCTACAGGGCGGTACAGCTCCTGCCTTCCTGTTCGCTGCACCTGTCGGTCCATGGACGACTTCATTCAAGGACAACAGACGACCACCCCACAGAATTTCGATGGTTGCACAGCTCATCTCTCGATAAGCGGCGCCACAGGTACAAAAGCTGATACTGTTTGTGGAGTCAGTTTTCTTCTGTCCGCCGTATTTTATATTTGGCTCAATCGCACTCAGTATGCAATTCGACCCATCACTTTTCGGAAATCACCAAAGGGGATATACCGGGGACTTGTTTGGTCATGTTGAAGGTCTGGTGAGTGTTTCGGTGAGTTTCGCCTTAGCTGGTGATAGACTTTAGGTTCGCGCCATCCCTACCATTTTATACGCTAAGTATCCGGTGTTTAAACTGCTTTCTACGGGTCTGGTCTCCATTCTTTGGCTTCACTGTGGAAAACACCGCACGGTCTTCTCAGGCATTCTAAATGAACTTAAGATTCAGATCCGATTCCATACAGTTGACCCTGGATGGCCTCCCTGAAGACAAAGATTACGATTCTCGAGGTACCACCCCTTCGAGACTGAACTGATCTCTTATCCGCCGAACACTATAAAGGCATCACCCATCTTGCTCCTCAATGCCACCATCAACTAGCAGTCTCTTCTTTCCTCAATGGCCTTCAAATCCTGCACCCACCTCTCCTCTAAGGGCGCCATTTCATCTCTGGGCGCGTTGGCCTTATGCTCCCCCCGATCATGGCTCGCTTCGTTTGCTCGCCAGTCTATTCTATCGGCCCTAACGAGTGCCATCTCTGTCGGATACCTCATCGTCGATGACGCTGAAGGCTCTCATGCCTACGGATTCTTCAAAAAGGGCTGCAACCATGTCCACATCAAAGTCAAAAGCGATAACTTCTGGCTACGTCTCATACTGTATGTTTTCCTCTCTTTTCTGAACGATAACATTGAGAACTAACTTTTTCCCTTCAGTTCCGGTGATCTAGGCTGTATGTGTTCCGCGTAACCGCCAATCAGCAATCAGTTGTTAATTAACCCTATTTAGTCAGCGAAGCGTACATGATAGGC